CTTTCAATAAACGAGTGAAAAACAGTCAACCCAGCGGCAAGTTACCAACATTCTACACTTTTTTGCTTTGAATCAGAATATTACTAATCTTAATGCATTTTTCATAAGAATCACGTGCCACAATTGAGACTTGAGAGTGGAGACAGAGTAGTTAATTTTATGTCTAATCTAGTAGACATCCCATGATAAGAAGGTTGTTTAGGTAATTTTAATATGTATAATGGCCAAGGTAGGCTAAATTTGGTACAAAATAATTGTTCATCATTCGCTGCTTTTTATGCAATCCCTAAGAATGTTTTGCGATTCCGAGTTTGTTCATGTACGTAATATGTTTAGTGGGTTTGTTAAAAGGTCATCGTAAACATTGAACTGCGCAATTAGTTCTAATTTTCAAGTATTTAATCAAATCAAATGTAAACGTGATTTTTCTAGCAGTCAAGTTTGGTATAAAACCTAGCTAGGTGTGCTGCTTTCCTGGTGGCTTTGCTTAAACAACAAATACTTCGTGTACTTTGTCTTCGTTGCATTAGACCAAAGATATATTCTAGAACTCTGAAAGATAACATATTTTCTTTGCTTAAACAACAATATATTAAGGCAGTGATTACATTTTCTTTTGCATAAAAAAAAAAAAAAGAACTTATATATATACATATATTTTTCTTTAAAAAATTAAACTTCTTTTATAGCTTTAATGATTAAGGTCTAGAATCTTCCAAAGAAAATGTAATCTTTTTTTTTCTTTTGATGCAAAAGAAAAAAAAAAGATTACATTTTCTTTGAAAGATTCTAGACCTTAAACATTAATTAAAGCTATAAAAGAAATTTAATTTTTTAAAGAAAAATATATAAGTTACTTTTTTTTTAAAGAAAATCAAATTCATTGATGTTGATGATATACATATATAGGATCTATTATCACATGAATATATTCCAGTTATACTTAAGAATATCTCATTCATAAGGTCTTTTACCGTAGTTTAGGTGAGTGTGATACTTATATATAGGAATTAGGCATCTTGAGTTTGATTTCTATAACACTATTGTTACACTAGTATGAGTTTAATATATTGGTACCGCACCTATGAGTTTGATACTTTGAACTCATGAGTTCAATACATATTGGTATCACAACCATTTTTTCTGGCCTACCATGAAAGGCCCAAGGAGAAGTACTCTGTCGTTGGGTTAAATTTTGATTCACAATTACTACATATATTAACTTGGTGGTGTAGGTACATAACTGAGTCAACCAAATAATAGGATAATGAAAGATATTTGTAAATGTTAATGTGTACTTGTTGACTCTAAAAATTACAAAACCTACGTGGCGCGCAGGCCGAGTAACTAATAAGCTAACTACGTCCTTCGGTTGAATGCGGGGCGTGCCAACTCGTCGGCCGAGCTTGGCCGAGGAGTAAAATTTGTTGAGGTCGCGTTGAGCGCATTATTGACTTCTTTATCCTGCAACTGCGACCGAAGAAGGAACACTCTCGGTCTCTGGGTTCTAGGGCCTGAAGACAAGGCCGTTAGTTCTGCGAAGTTCACAAATCGCCGGCGCCTGATTCGGTCACTGTGATTATATTCGTAAGAGTATAGGCACGTCGAATCGACACCAAACTATACGGACACAAGTACTCGAATGTGATGTATGTCTTGATGGTGAATGTAGTTCGGCCGTCAGAATGCTGAACTCTGAAACTCACTTGTGAGTATCTAATCATAAACTCACTCGGCGTCCAGTACGCCGAATAACAAGATGACCCCTGCCGACAAGGATTCGAAAACCCTTCTCGGCCGAGACTTGGATAGGTAACCAGTCGGCCTCGACGCAGTGCTGTTAATCCAAACTGAAGGTGCTTCTCGGTCGGCTGGTTCTGCGACAACAATGCTGTTTATCCAAACTGAAGGTGTTCGCCAGGTGCCTCCACAGTGCTGTTTATCCAAACTGAAGGTGTGTCGGCAGAAAAAGAAAAGGAAAAATCTCAAGGTATTTGAGAGGCTTTGCGCAGGGCAATTGTATGTTGAATTGAAGGTCTTCTATATTGCATGATTTCTTGTATTTATAGCCCCCCATTCCTTGAGACCAAATCGCACCCTTATTTGGATTGGGAGTCCTTGTCCCGTTCCAACTCTACTTCGAACAAACCTACTCCCACTAGGACTTTGAACTTTCCCCTCTTCCGAGGCTTTATTCTTTGCCGGCCGGGAATCCTGGGTGCACCAGGACTTCCTCGACCCTTTCTATTTATCTGGACTACTCCTTCTTAGGATATGACTCGACCGACCCTGCTAACTGGCCCGGAATCTATCACTCGGCCCATAGCATTTGACACAGCCTTGGGCCGAGCACAACCTCCTACTCGGCCCAACAATATTATTTCGGGCCCAAACAGTACTGCTGGATCTTGGTATGGGTTTACTAGTCACAGGTTGATATGTTGTTAACTCTACCTAGATAGGTATGGAAGCCACTATGAGTATATATCCAAGTATGCTTCTAGATAAGGAACTAAATGTCACGCCATAAACTGAATTCCTACCATGAGCGCGAGCATAATGAACTGGATCTACTGGGTGTATTGTACAACAATGTAAGTGAATATCCAATTTTAAATGAAATGGATAAAGACATTTTAAATTTTAGCGACAAATCTAATTAGAGTAATGTTGATCATTTAGTCGGCAATAAATACCTTTGAAATTTCATATATGATGACTCTTTTTTCATTAAGGATAGTAATAGGGACAATTATTTCATATATTTTGATATTGAAAATAAAAATTTTGAGATTGACAACAACCGTTTTTTTCTAAGTGAACTAGAAAGTCTTTTTAACTTGACATGAACTATGGCATGGTCTTAATTAATATAATTTTTTAAATAATTAAAATAAATTACCAAAAATCCACGACAAATCTTAAAATTATATATGTCAAAATTTAACCTAGACATGGCAAAACTAGAAGAATTAGTGAAAAGTTTATATATTTTTTTTTTACGAAACCAAAAATTATGTGCATGATACGTATCAAAATTTAACCTAGAGATGCATATGTACGGATTTATTTATTTATTTATTTTATTTATTTATTTTTTTGGAAGGAATGTACGGATTTATTTGGTATTCGATCAAACATATCCTAATTATTAAGACATCAACGTCATGAACTAATAGCCTACTGATGACAAGAAAAATGAAAAGAAAGAGGTTGGTCCTACGCTCTTTAATCTCAGTCCGCAAGTTGGTCGGGACTGTTCAATGTTCACCCACCTATGATTATATACAGTAAAGTAAAAGTTGACAAAGAAATGTTAGGATTTTATAGCTTTTTATATAGAAATAGTTCCATAAAATAAATATAAGCATGAAATATTAATTTTACGTGCTTATGGAGTAGGGACCTCCATGAAAATACAAAGATGACGACGCAGAAAGAAAAAGAAAGATGCAAAGATGACGATTATTTCCAATCTGAAAATGTCAGTGAGACCTTTCCATCACATCAAATAGAGATGTAAAATACTTGACAAAAAAAAAAAAAATAGAGATATAAAAAAGAACTTAGCACTCCTTTTTCTTTGTCACGAGCAATACAGGGAACATACTAAGGGATAGAACATTTTAATTTAAAAAAAAAATTCCAAGCTAACATAACAAAACTATCCACGCAGTGGGCATTTTTTCCCCTTTACTTCTTTAATTTTTGAGTAAAAAAATATATTTTAAACAAAAATATGTAAAGAATAAGATGTAACAAAAAAAAATTGCTACATGTGTGAGCGTGTGGCAAGAAGCTAATTGTAGCTTAAGTAAAAGTAGTTAAAGATGTGATTAATGGGCCAAGGTGGGATTAAGGGAGCACTATTTGTGGTGCGGGTTAGGTTTAGCTTTGAAGGGGGCAAAAAATACTGGATTGCTCTGTTTATATGCTACTTCAAACCATCCACCATCATTCTCTGTCGTCTAATTATGGCAAAGCAAAAGAAAGGATCACTAAAGTAAAGCCTTTTTATTGGGCCCATGATACCAACTCCACATTCTTGATCATAATATTATATTTTTGATCTTTAAGTTTAGGATATGTTAGTCATAAATCGAGAAACAGAAAGAAAATGGGTATGGAACCAATAGCCATAGTAGTAAACATAGGGAAAAATTGAAATAATTCAAGTACCTCCTCCGCATAAGTGCATGTATCATAATTTCTTAACCTTTTTATTGGGCCCATGATACCAACTCCGCATTCTTGATCTTTAGGTTTAGGATATGTTAGTCATAGAGAGAGAAAAATGAGTACCGAACCAATAGCTATTGTAATTGATTCTAAGATTTTATTCTTAACTTTTGATGTATTAGATTACGAATTTAACGTGAAATCTACATCTTTTTTAATTCAACACTTGGTATAAGCGCACAAGCAGTTAGAAATTGGTGAACATATGGGAAAATTGAAATAATTCTAGTACTCATTCCACGGAAGTGTACAAACCAAAATTTTTTGACCTTTCCGTGGTTTATTACAAGCGATATTGTGAGAGGGTGGAATCAAACATATGATCTCGGGTGAAGGAGTAAATCTTTTAACCAGTTGAGCTTCAACAACTTACAATATGTTGTGTCTTGTCAAAAGAACTAGGCTTTACAGTTTACCCACAACATTTTAGTCATAAACAGCTAAACCTCAAAGTGGCTTAATGAAATCCCAGAGTTGTTAATGAAGACTTACAACAAACATGTTCTGCCATGAAGTTAGCAGCTACTGAAGGAGAAATTTTTACTTGTGATGGGAACACAAGTGGTACACCACGTGTTTTAATAAAAGTGATGAGAAATTTTATTTTTTAAGTTATTAACTTTTTAGCACACATATCTTACACCCCCGTATACCGGTCACATCGAAAAATCTCTCGAATGCACGAGAGCGCAAAACGAATGAATGTGAATGAATCTAACTCTACTCTTCGCAACGGGAGCCGCCAATTCTTTATTCTCCAACTCACGTTTCCATTTCTTTGTTACAATTCTTACTCATTTATACGAACTCCATGCCTCCCTCTCAAAAACGCAACACATCACAGCTTTGCAAGTATAGCCAGGAAAGGATGCAACTTGTATATTTTCGGCACAGATGCTTTGAAAATGTAGTCGAACTAATTCTGCGAGTTAAGGTCTAAGCAGTCTTGTTGCACCAGCTCTTTTCGGCCATTAAGAAAACCGAAAACCTGCTTCAGGTTTCCTCATGAAGGCCTGGCATTTACTACATATTTACAGATAGTTACGAGTCTTCTCCGCATTTCCAATTTTGTAATGCATGTATCTCTGAAGAATCTTCCACCATCAAAGGTTCCTAATGAAATTGTCTCAATGTTAGAAAATGCTCGAACAAAGTGTCATTACAACTTTCCTGGAAAAGATTAAATGCTGGTAGTGCAGCAGTAAAACATGAATCAATACTGAAGATCCAGGACAATAAACAAATATTTAAACCACAGACATAGAGAGAACGAGTCATTTACTACTACAAGCTAGCTTAGACAAATATGTTTTAATTGAAAAGGGAAGAGGGGGCGGGGATCATGCACGACGTCTAATCTAAACACCTCTTCAGGAAATAAGAAGCACAAGAACATCATCCCTTGTTTTGATAGAGAATATGTTTATTTATGAAATAAGAAGATACGCTCAATGGTTTACACTCAACGAGAAAACAATAAAACCCATCAAATTCGAAGTTGAAGATATTTCTAGCAGTATAAGAAGGCATACCTCTATCATCAAATACTGAAGTCAAGATTGCCAGACATACACATAAGCTGATATCTTCCCCTGGAATAAAGAGGATATTGGAAAATATTAGAAGACCCTAATGGTAATCCAAGAACAAAGAAAACTAATAATCAAACATTGAAGAACATTATTTATTCTCTCTCTATATATGTGTCATATAAGTTTCGTAAAGTATATTTATAAGAATGTATATCGTTTTCAACTGAGTTCAGCAAGGGCTAGTAACAGATCAACATGGCTATATCGACTCTGAAGCCCGCATATGTACTTAAGCACAATCACTTCAGAGAAACTAAAAGTTCTTGAGATTCCATATATGAAACAAAGAGCTCCATCAAAATGCGATGTTATGTACAGTGGTATTGTTTAATGGAATTAACTAAGCAAAAGATGTGAAGTCTTTACCGTTATGGCACCAAATTAGGAGGGTCTTCCCTTCACTTAGATTCAACTTTGCAAAGTTCAGAGCAGAAGGGAGATTATTAAACAAGGAAAACCGATCAAGCTTTGATGTTTGCCAAGGAAAGTGAAAAGTTAGTGGAACAATTACACAATGAAAATGAAAATAAGAATGTTATCCTAATATTCTTTTGAACTCACCACCATAGGAAGATGCATATATGCTTTAGCATTTTGATGAGAAGCAGAGATCGACTCTTGGTCACAATTTAGTATGCAGTCAACTTTGCATACTGCAGCTGCAACAAATAAGGTAGACCGAAGGGTAAGCCAAATGAATTAACAAATACATAATGTTGCTGACATAAGCTAGATAGCAAAAGAGTTTTGGAAGGCAGATAAAATATGAACACATAACATTCACATGCACTGATAAATAGAGCCAAAAATTAAGGGTCAGGTTGAATTTGGATGCTAACCAACCATAAGTAGTTTTGAACATACCGGTTGAAGATATGCCTACAGCAAGACCTGTTGAACCCAGCCGCGATATAGCACAATCTTCGTCACAAGAATTTAAATCCATATTTGTGTTTGAATTATCCAAGGGCAACGTCAAGTGTTCGTGCAAACAATGAACCGAGTTTTCTACCAAATTTGGAGCGTTGACAGAAACCTGAGGGGCAATTTGACCCCTTGGAGCACGATAAACTCGATCCTTCTCAACCATATCAGCTACCATCTGGTTACACAAAACAGGCCAGGCATTTATAATATCATAGGCATGATTCCGGAAGAGGGTGGGTGTTAAACCCCTTGCCCAGCTTTCTTCCATCATCACCGGCTCTTGCTACGTAATTCCAGCTAAATTCTGAACTAGTCCTGTGTGGTACAACACCATCGGAGGCAGAGGCAGAGGCAGAAACAAGAATGATGGGTGTGAAATCCCATGATTCATGGTCTGGAAGTTCGTTCAACCAAATTAGTCTTTTGAGATATCCATAGAGGGCGCAACGGCTTTTTCAATAAAGAAGCAAGCAAGGCAACGTCAGTTCCGCTAGCTTCTGACCGTTGGGTCCATTCGTTTAATCCATCCTCGATAAATAAAGGCACAAGGGACTAGGAAATTAACACACAATTCCTCAAGTCCATTCTCCACTCTCTTTCTCTCCATGCCGCACCCCTTAGATAAACATAGGGCACAACAGTTTCATCTTTTTTCATGTATTAGAATACTAATTTTAACTGTAACGTAGTAGACACATATCTGCTTTTACTCTCACATATGCTGGCAAGTGTGAGAAATCAGGCATCAAAGTAATTTCAATATGTGCATGTTAATGTAATGAAAAAGAGTCAAGAATCGTAATATTTCCATTACTTGTTCTAACTATTTCAAGAAAACAAGCATGTCATTAATGAACTATTGTTTACAATTTGAAAAAGTCGTCGTGCACTTGCGGAACAATAAATTTTCTTATATATTCTCAAAGGGAAGGAAGAAAGAAAGGATGGAGAAGAAAGAGAGTTTCAACTTGAAATTCCCACATCCGATATGCAGTTTCTTGTTAAGCATAAGTACAATAGCAAGATTAGAGTCAATCCATAGTAGCAAACTTTAGATATTAATTGTTATCCCAACCTCCATCAAATATCCAACACTAATTAACAAATCACTGATGGCCTTTAAGAATATTGGTTTCTACTTTTGGCAGCATTCTTGAGTACTCCTGTTTTGACAGATGAGGCTGGATTGATGGCCTTTCTAATTTTGAAGATGTTCCAAGCAGTGTTAGCAATATGCCCTGTTGTTGCAAACACATCCTCAGTTGTCTCCCCTGCACTCTCCCCAAACCTGCAGTTTCTCAACATTAATAGCAATTCAACTAACATGCAAGAATCATCTGTGTATGTATAGTAACGGGAAACATGTACAATTAGAAATGGTTATTATTTTTTAATAAAAAATAGAATCAGAAATACACTACTCAGGCTTAAGCCGTATATAAGCACAATTTAGTGCTTCATCATGTAGGATAGTGTCTCTCTAGTTCTATTTTTGATTAAAAGTTTGTAACTGGTACATGTTCTATTAATCGAAACTCTTCAAATGTAGAGTCTAACATTTTCGATCATGTTTGTATAATTGGCCATTATTACCTGTTGCTGACAATTCTAGTTGCAGCACCTGAGGTGGCAGAAAGAGCTTGTTTCTCAGCAAGTTCAGCTGCATCCAAAATTTTATCTGCAGTTTGCAGGATGAACCATATATCAATATGTAGATTCTTATATAGCCTTGGCAATGTGAAGAGAATTTTCAACTATGCATTCAAATGACGGCTAGATTTATATGTTTTAGATGAAAGAAATCATCATATATGACAGTCTACTAAATCCCAAAACGCAATGTATTGCAGAATTTTCGACATAAAGAATGTATGAATTTGAACTTACTGATGCCATCAAGTGAAGCCAAGAGGACCTCTCCCGGAGCCATGGCAAAGAATGCCTTCCCTGCCTGGGAATTAACCACCGGACCCATCACCGATCCGGTCACAATACCAACCCCATCAAGCATAGATTTGCTCAGCTCTGATGTCATCTTTGACAAATTTTTCACACTGAATCATGGCAATACAAAATATCCATTCACTTGAGAACTTTTCAATACACGCTCACAAAGTAATGCAAGGAAAATGTGTTTAACCGTTTTAAGTTCTCGTTGATTCCACTCTTCTTTGTCGCAGCAGACTTTCACTGCTATTACTTCCGTGTTTTTTGACATAACTTTTCCCCTCCACGGGACGAGCCAATGTCGTTTCCCCTCCTTTTTGGACCTGTTTTCCTCTCCCATCATACAAATTATTGTTAGATCTTCAAAAGAAATCAACCCAGATGACGTTTCGTATACATTTTACCATGTATTTAACTAATTGCGGAAATGTTGAGATGAAACTGATCATTTGAGAAAAAAGAAGAAGATTTCATTGATTCATTTTGTTAGATTAATCATTAGACCCCTAAACTAGCTTAAGTTGTCACAGAATAAGCTAACAATATATATCAAGCATACACCTTCACAGACATACATGCAAACCATATAAGTGTTGCAACAATGTATGTCAAACTTAAACACTCCCTCAATCATGATTAAGCAACAAGTGAAAGAACGGGCTGAAAGAATGGGGAGGGTTCAAGGCATATTCTTACAGGTTTCGCACGTTGTGCAGTTCCTCAATTTGTAAAATCTATGACCATTGAAACTTTGTAAAATTGGGATTATAACCTGTGTTACATGTACTGTTTTAAGGTAAAAAGAATTATTGGCTTGACCAAATTGACTAGAGTGGTATGCTTTCCATACAAAGCAAAGTTTAATTCTTGGCTCCTAAATTTGGATGAGGGAAATAAATTTGGGATTTAGACAAAAGTCATAATTTATAAATTGACATGCATAAATTCACTTTTGGATTCATAAAGATAGAAATTTAAAAATTTTGCCTGAAAAAAAAAATAATCACTTGAAATTTTTAGGACATCCAATTCCTATGTTTAAATTTATTAATAGTGTTATTTCCAAATTTTCAGAGAGTTAAAAATAAAAAAATAAAAAAAAACAACAAAACTCAAATATGAGTGGCCATTACCACCACATACCGTTATCACCCCCGTCGCTAACACCCACCTTCATCAATACTGCTACTTTCACCCACCATTATCACCGTTGTTGCCATTACTAGCATATTTCCTAACTATTATCACTCATTTACATACTAATGATTCTATACACACATTAAATTTCATATTTAAATTTCATTGGTTTTTTAAGTAAATCAAAAAAGAAAATTCACAAATTCTAAAAATAAAATTCCGTCATTTTAAAATTTCTTAGCAACCTTAAATTTTCTCATTCAAACAATTTTGCGTAAAATACTAAAATTATTTCACTTGTTCAAACAAACAAACAAAAAAAAAAAAAAAAAAACCAACCTGATTGGTGTAAGCATTGCTACACATAAAGATTCCCCTCACAATCTGACCAGTCCCTCCTGCAATTGCTTTGGCCAACAGATTATTATAATCTTCAATCCTTGGAGCATACTCCTTCCAATCAACCCCCTTATTATTATTATTCTTGGTCAATGCAGGTACTCAAGCAGGAGTGTTCTTTCAAATACGAATCCAGAAACCCCAAGTTAATTTCGTATTGGGCGGGAAATGTCACGCCGTAGCTCAGAGGATCGCCGTCTTTCATGGGGAGGGAGAAGAGATAGTGCAAAGCGTCGAGCTTCACGACCGGCTCGTCATTTGTCAACGGCCACTGAATTTCTTCGCCGACCTTGATTATGGTGGCGAGCGAGACGTTGTTTTCCAAGATGTTTTCGAGGACGAAGTCGCCGTTTGCGAGCTCTAGGGTTTCTCCTTCGTCCATGAGGTGGACTTTGCATCCTGGGATTCGGAAGAGGACTTGCTGCTGGAGGTTTTTGGGTTGTTGATATTGCTGAGTAGGGTTTTGGGTTTGGTACTGCGGCGGAGGTGAGGTGGGAGGGGAGGTTTTGTGTTTGGGACTGCGTGACCGACTGAAGCAACCCATTTCTATGCCGGGAAGGAAATTGTCTGTACTTGTTTCACCGAGGGGTTGGAAAGAAGATGATCGGAAAAGGTAATGGGTTAAGAGGAAAAGTTGTAGGCGAATTTGATGCTTTGTCATCCTCCAAATTCTCCACTGAAAGCCATACGCATTAATTACATTAACCCCAAAGAATCAGAATAAAGTTGTTTGAGGCTTTCAGTGGAGAATTCGGAGGATGACAACTGTCTGCATGATGCTGGATAATCAGTATAAAAGTACAGACACACCTTGCAGTTTCCAAAGAAAGTCTGAAGTGTGAACCCAAGTGAGAAATGTTGTGGAGATTCTCAGCAATAGATGACTTATTATTGGCTTTCTAACACTTTATAATTTACCGTTAATTTTCGTATCAACATTATAAAATATTAGTTAAAAACTTGAATTAGCAGATAGTTCATAAAAAATCTCATTTTTGAGGATCTTCTTAACATTTCTCTTATTTCATATAATCGATATTGGAATGCTAACAACCTTCTCAATACATTTTCATTTTAACTTTGCACTTTTTTTTATACCACGCGTACTCCGCTAGCACTTAAAACTAAAATTTTAATTATATTAAAATCTCACTAATTTTTTTTTTCATTTTTGTTAGTTTGATTACAATTTGAGTTTGTCAACCAAACAGTAATTTAATTTTTTGTTTTGCGTGCTAATAGAATGCATGTGGCATGAGTAGAACTGAGTAACTGAGTTTACTGTAACAATGGTATCACTTTGGACAAAATATTGTCACGTGCAAGTTTTCATCACATGACATTATATTAATATATTAAAATATCAAATTCACTTGATTTTGTAGTCTCATCGTCTGCCAAGCAGTTTACTGTATTAGTTGATATGCAAATTCTCGTGTACAAACCCTAACACTATGTTTGGATGAGGGAAATAAACATGAAATTTTGGTAAAAGTCAGAATTTATAATTTGACAAGCACTAAATTCTCTTGTTTGGATTCATAAACATAGAAATTTAGAATTTCCACGTGGACCAAAAACTTGGAATTTGGGACCTCCAAATCCCAAGTTCAAATTCCATGTAAATAGGTGTCATTTCTCAATTTCTATGATTGAGAGTTTAAAAACAACAAATTCCGTATTCAATTCCGTTGTTCTTTTAGGTTAACCAAACAAGAAAATTTACAAATTCTAAAAAATAAAATCTCGTCATTTCAATTTCCGTCATTTTTAAATTCCGTAGTAATCTTAAATTTCTTCACCCAAACATAGTGTAATAGTGCGTAATAAGTGTAGGTGCGGATGTGAGTGACTGGCCAACCGACTCTTCCACGATTCAGTTCAGTTGACACTAAAATTCTTTCTTATGGATCGTAATTGGTGCGTATAATAGGCTATATCTTAGTTGATGTGTTTAACATGATTAAATTTTCATTTATCAGACTTATGTTGTGAGATATCAATGATCGAAATTCATAATATGACAACATAACATAACTTACATGTAAAACTTCCATCTCATGTACAAATAACTTCTCTCTTGCCTGGACCCATTAGGCCCATTAGGCCCAATATTAAACTATCATCAGATATGTACTTCTCATGTTCATCAACAAAATCTTTACGGCCCACACCATCTCGCAACAGAGACTGCATAGAGAGTCTGAGTCATAGACAGTTCTCCCTCTAAGTTCTCCAAAGCCGAAATCCGCCATCCATGTCTCTGTCGCCATCGCCGGAAAATGCACTCCAATCTGCAGGTCTCTCTCTCTCTCTCTCCTAATTGCTCTCTGCATCAAAATCTAGAATCTCTAAAAGCCTGGGAAACTCCAAATACATTGTGTTAACTCGTACTTAACCAGTCTGTCTTTCGAGTCACTTGAACTCACTTAGAATCCTAGCAAACTGCTTGATTGCAAAAAATGTCAAATCAGAAAATGCCTGTCTTATCCGACCGTCTGTGTTTATCTAACTTAATTGAACAAAAAGCTCGAGATTATGTGGCATTTACCACATTTTCTGATCTGTTTTCATTGCTTGGTTTAAGAATTTCGACTCGGCGGTGTAAAGACTAAAGAGCTCAACTTTTGAGATATGATGATTGCCGCAGCGGTGCTGGTGGCGGTTATCCTTCTGGTAGCTTTCTTTGTGATCCCACGAGGCCCAAAATATGGTACTTTCTTGTTGGTTAATCTTGAAAGAGAATTTAAAGTTGTACTAGTTTAAAAATCAACCGCAACCGTTTAACACCACCCAAAGAAAATACTTTTTAAGAGAGTTTTTGTGTTACTGATTGCCTTCAAATGACCTGTTTTTCTTCAGCCAGCCAGAATGTACACGAAAGCTCAAGTCTCGTTGCATAATAAGCGAACGGATTGTTGGATAATTATTAAAGACAAGGTAACGTTTTGATTTCTCATTTGATTAGTAGTTAGGGCTCTCTTGTTTTCCATTGTAATCACACTTGAATAATCCTTGTAGGTATATGATATTACCTCGTATGTAGAGGAGCACCCGGGTGGCGATGCCATCTTAGAGCATGCTGGGGATGATTCGACTCAAGGGTTTTTCGGGTGAGGGTCGCTTGTTTTTGTTGTCACTAGATACAACCATGTTTTCTCCACTCATGACAAAGTCTCACTCACCAACTGATCATTTCATGACCAGTTTTTTCAGTGGCTGTGTGTTAATGTTTATGACTTGATAATATTCAGAAAACGGCTTGTCTCGTCTACTTGGGATTAATTAGTTATGTTTATGACATCAGTGTCACACAATTACTTGATCTATAACTGAGAAAGAAATAGTTCCGAAACAGGAGAGGTGGAGGTTTTGATCTCGTGAACTAAGCTGAAAACCGAAACTCGCTTCTTCTTCTTTGTATCTTTCCTGGTTATTAAAATTGGCACATTCTTTGCATTTGCAAGGTTATAGCAATGATGCTCCTGACATTTGCTTGTTATCTTTACTTTTCGTGTTCCAGGCCGCAGCAGGCTGCCGGAGTCTTTGACATGATCGACGACTTCTATATCGGGGATCTGGTGCTGTGACCAACTTGGAGTCATTACTTTGAGATTCCATTCTTCTCTTTGCATTTTCTTTTCTTACAACATTGTATCTGTAAGAAAGCCCGTCAAAACTCGTATTTCATAGTAAATAAACACTTATATTTTGCACTCCGATTCAAACTCACGAAGTTTTTCACTAAAGATGCAAATGAAGGGGAGGAGCCAACAGTGTAACACTGGAAATGGAATCAAATCTCTACTTACTATCCTTTAAATCTCAACTGTATAAGAATTTAAATTACATAACTAAAAACAAAAAGGTGCAGATTACAAATCAACCGAGGCAGGTCGGGTTTGAGGCTGAAGAATCAAATGGATTGAAGGGGTATCGAAAAAATGAGACTAAAATTTCTAAAAACACTTCAATAAATCAATAATTGAATGGCCAACCAATCTAACCCCAACAGATTTTTTCTTCTAACAATCTCGTCACCCATCCGATCTTGAAACTCTGGGAAAATCGATCGAAAGGTGTTTTCTCCAATCACATTCACTAGATATCATATTTCTTCGGCTGGCGCCATTGTGCCAAACTTCTGGCCAAAGAGCTCAGGAATGACAATTTCGGAGGAGCTTCTTTCTTCCCTAAATGCTTTCCTCCCAAATCCGTATATACTGGACCCATATCCTTGCTTCGTTCAATCTTCAGTGAAATTATACAAAATATTTCAGAAAATATAGCTCAGAAGTTGTAATGTTCTTAAAGCTATAAGCAGAAAGGCCTTAGACAGCATACCTTGAATATCTTCCCATCCTTTAAGTGATATCGAATACCAGACCAATTTATCGACTGAGAGAAATGAGAACGGAAGGCAGAGACGGGGTACAAAAAATTATCTACAATGAGTGCAATAAATACCTGCCAAATAAAAAAACGGTACATGAACATTAGAGAATACTCAGTAGCCATCATCAAGGCGCCCCAGAGCTCCAACTAGATATGGAGTTTGGACTTTCATATATAAAAAGATAGAGCTCACGAAACTCTGATTTTTCTATGGTACTTTGATATAAACCTTCGATCAGGATATTTTGGTACGTATAATATACAGCATTCAAGATACAGGCAATGAATTTCAAAATTCTTCTGAGGGTATAGAGATGGACACTTACAAGGCTCCAGTTGTAAGTAGCAAGTGAGAGTTCAGGCGCCTCCGGTGATAACATGTTGCATAGATGAACTTCTATCCTGGTCAAGTTCCACATCGAAAGAAGTTCGATAATTGTGCATGTCGCTAGGCAGCCTACCAGTTTCAATCCTGAGAAAGGGTGGATGAACGTTTAAGAGCATAAAAATAAGCGTCAAATTAATGGTGAACGTGAGGATCTTTATTAAAATGACTGATTTGGAGAAACGTTTGATTTACTTTAGGCAAGAAATCATAATCCAAACGGGAGAGAGAATCAAATTTTATCTTGCACACTGGTTTTCTACATTAGTATTTGAGTCAACGCTACTAAATTACCTAAAAGAGAAACTAGAGTGCTCACCACCAAAAGTGAAGGTTGTTTCCTCAATTGAATACCCCTTAATATACATTCGTAGGGCTGCAGTGATATGAATAATGGCCATTAAGAATGGTGCTACAAATCCCCATGAGAGATAGCAGTGGACGGTAAACAATGCACGGTTCATAATCCAGTTAACTTTTGTGGTATATGATTCCAACACAAATGTCTGCTTCCTCAAGTAATTCCAATACCTACAGGACAAGTCAAAAGATGTAAGCATGAAGTATGACTGCATTTTTTTTCTGTTTTTTTGAGAAAACAAGTGTACATTACAAACCTTGGAAAAGTAAGATCACTTGCAAGCGGATGGGGGAAAACGGCAACTGGAGGTGATGTGATGAGCCTTTTATGAGCACCTGGAAAAGGTCAATAACATCAGCAACAACGCATAGCCATGTTAAACCACAATGAACCAAATCATGCAAAAATCCTTGATGTAATGTCTCCCTTCCCTTGTAAACGTATCCCCCCAAAGACGATTAAAAAACACGAAAAAAAAAAAACATAGGGAGAGCACTAATTTAACGCTCGAACAGCCAAAAGAAACAGTATGCACAAGACATGGTATAAGTTGGCAGGATAGTTATATCAGATTGACAAGATGAATGCATCTAAGCCTTCAGGTAGCAGACAAAACTTCAATGGGTATATTACCGGCTATAGCTGCAAGAGTCATATCATCAGAGTAACCACCATTTTTAAGTCCTGTGACCACTCCATAGCGGTCGAGTCTAAAATCATCTGCATGCATCTGCATAGAATTTAAAACAGTTAAAACAGCAAGAAATTTACAACAACTAAAGCAGCATGACGATTTAGTGCACGCAGGACTTATAGAAGGCTACTGCTACTTACCATCATGCATCCTCCCCACAGAAAGAATGTCCTTCCACCAGTAGCAAAGCCCATTGAGCAAGGCTGTACAAAACAAATTGCATATGACTAGGATACAGACTTCAAGTAACATATAGGAGGAAGCTTAAGATAAAATACAAGAAATAACCAGTAAAAATTATATACACGTCCATTTAGATGTTAAAATACAGATACATGTATATGTATTTTTTGAAGAACAAGTGGGTACCATATGGTATTCATAAATGCAGTAACTCCCTAAGCTTCCCGAAGGCAAATCAAGGGGGTATCCGGTTTGGATAAATATCTGCACATTATTTAAAACAGGATTAACACCACAACAGAACCCACAGCTAACATACCACATATAAGATAGGATCAACGTACAAAAATCTTACATCAGGATTTTTCTCCATCTCCGCGGTTAGGGCTCCAATCGATCCAGGGTGAAGCCTAACATCGTCATCCAAAAACAATACATACTTGCTGTCTTTGTGCATTTTCTCCACTCCAATCTGCAAAAAGACATTTCGATCTAGTAATGGATATAATTAGTCACTACAGAATGTCATGCTTTAAAGTTCAAACCATGTATGCAAAAAGATTTAAACAGAGTAGGCCACAAGGCTAAAGCTCATATTTCCATATATAATTCTAAGTGCAGCTTTCCTTTGCCTTTTATTCTACATGAATCCTCAAAAGAAACCTTACACAACGAGTCTGATGCCTTATATAGTGTAGACATATACCCTACACTACTAAGACTTAGTAACAAGTTTATATTCCTGTATTCCATAAAGAAAAGAACCTCGTCACAAAGAATAATTATAGGTACATAATGATTTGATAAGATAACACATAAACTGTGCAAGACCTTGCTATTGCACCAGCACAGTAGCAAACCGTAAATAATTTTAATCAGGTACATACCAATTGGTTGTGAATTTTCTGACTACAGGTTGTTGAAATACCAGCCACAACAATCTTAGCATCAACCTCATCCTGCAAGAAAATGAAGTTAAACTTAAAACAGAACATTCTGGGCACACATGCAACCATAAAAATGTTACCATTAAACTTATGCTTCCAAGCATATATTATATAACTTGTCCTGGATGTTCTTATATTAAAGAAACCATGATTATTGTTGCATATACCTTAAGCTCTGATAGTAGCATAGATACAGCACAATAAGCAGGGTCTTCTGTGCTTTCCACAATAAACATAAATTCTAAGTGACCACCATAGAGAGAAGTGACCTGTGTTCGTTAATAAAACAAAACAGCTCAGACCATATTGGAAAAAAACCTTGGATACAGATTCAACCTATTAAATCAGTTATCACATGGATTTTGAACACTTCACCAGATAATCTAATCATTTAAAAGGTGTTGATGGTTTCAACAACTCCTTTTTTCCCCAAACAAGAAAATATAAACACACAAGAGCGGACCCTCTAAACCAAAGAAGACTCTTAGCATCCCCGTCGAAAGCAAAGTGTCCCTCTAACCTGGGTTCTCCAGTTGTGTAAGTTGTGTTCTCCAAATCCCTTCAAAGGCATAACAACTGTTACTCTTGGCAGTTTGAGCTGATTTGAGTGCTCAAGTTCAGTGATATCATGGCAAAGGAAAGCAAAGCTATTGCCTCGTTGCATACTATCCTTCATCCGATTAATCTCTCTATTCCTGAGGGGGGAAACAGAACAGGAAAAAAACATTGAATATCAAGCAAAGAAAGGAAATTTAACATCGAACAAGCACGGAGGCCATGCTAGTAGTTGATATTACGTTGAAGTCGGAATATAAGCTCAAGTACCTGACATAAGCCGCACAAGCCCATCCGAAGGCAAGAATCAAACATATTAGACAGCCCTACAGCGCAAATACAGAAATTTAGACATGCCCACCAAAAGAAAATATAGTTTAACTATGTTAATCTAATATCACAAAGATACTGAGCTTCCGAATCTCAGACCCAACAGAGGCGTAATTTGAACTTCTTATGAAGAAAAACCTAATCTTTCAACTCGAAAATAACACAAAGAATCGCCTAAGAAAATGGGAACTCGAGGAGAAATGTAAGCCGATTTTTGAAGTGCCAATAACAGCTCCCAATCCCAAAGCAGTCTAATTTTTTCAGTTCAAACCTCATTTTCTGGAATTTTGACTTCTCTCACCCAGAAATCATATATTTGACCTCCATTGTACAAGTATAACGAAAATTACTTTTAAGCCAGAAAGCATGAACCTTTAATTTTAATTTTTTTAATAATCGAAAATAAAAACTGCCGCCATAAATCAAAATTGAAGAATTCAAACTTCGAATCGAAGAATTTCGCAATCCCAGAAGCCGAATTCAAATGCCGGCGAGCAATTCATCCCACAACCGACCCCAAATAACAAATTAAAACCCAACGAAAAGAAAATTTTCAAGTGAATTTCTCGGCAACCAAACGGACCCGGATCTGAACGAAACATAAAATGGCGAAAAAATCTAAATTTTAAGGAAAAAAACAAACCTGGATCTGAACGAAAACTGCTAGCGGGCTGCAGAACGCTCTGCCGAGAGAAAAGAGGAGCGAATCGAGAGGATCCAATGCAGACATTCTTATTATTACGCTCGTGTTGCTTGTTAGAGGGAGGAGGAGACAAAGATTATGGCGAGGAGAGAAGCCGCAGACATTCTCTCAGATCGCCATGGCCGATGAACAGCGTCGATAATCGCGACGGAGATAGGGAGGAGAGAGAGAGAGAGAGAGAGAGAGGGAAAAAAGGGGTTAGAGTGAGAGAGCGCGTAATTTATAATTCGCAGGAGAAGGGGAAATTACTAATTGGCTCGCTGGCCATACAACACAACAGCAGCAACAAGAATAATATAAACAGAAGAGAGCAACCCTGTCGTGTGTGCACTTTTGCTGGCTTTCCTTTTTTAAGGAAGAGAAAGGGTTGAAAAAAGGTCGGAGCGCGATCCCCGTAACAATAATTCCTGGTTTTTCATTGGTTGCTTGGTCCGACACCGCCTCATGTCAACAATATTATTTATGTTAAGCAATGGGAAGGATAAATTAGTATCGTCGTATCGAACTATTTGTAGATTCAAATTTAAAATTTCTTACCTATAGACGATGAAGAATATTTTAGAACTAAATAGAAGTATTAAGTAGCATGATGTTATCAATTTTTATGTTGTACAAACATTTTTGGGCGTTAAAAAATAAACTTTTCTATATTAAAAAGTTTTTGCGCACACATCAACGTCAAAATTTAGTTTTGTTTTAAGGAAAGAATGACTTCCTACATGTATGAAGCTAAGCATTTTTTGTATAGTATAGACTCTAGAGATGCGGCAGTTTATAATTTTATAGTATATTTAATTATTTATGTGCATAAATATTAGTATTGTGCTAAGCAATTATTGACCATGAATCAAGACGATTCGTATACGCTAATTGAGTTTTATTAAAATACTTGTTTTGATTTATTTGATCAAATAACAATGGTAGGCTCCAAATCTGGACTAAGCTTGTTTGAAAATATTTTTTTAAATGATTGAAAAAAAAATATTAGATATATGTTTCTTGCATGAAACATTTAAAAATGTTTTTTCAAGATCCACTTGGATTTTTACTAAGAATTAGTTTAAAAAACATTATCATCAGAAACGCTTGCGATCATTTTAAAAGTACTCCCAATGAGTCCTTAATCAATTGGCTATAAAGTGATTTCTCATCCCCATAGTGTAGACCATTGTGATTCAGTTGTATCAAAACTAAAATAACAATGGTAGGATTGTCGATATTGATAGCAACACTCCCACACCAACAAACAAACAAAAAATACCAAAACCACAACTTTGGAATTCAGTAGAACGAAGAAATACTTAATTTCATATTTCTTCGTTTACGAGCGTAGTTCGGTTTCGTATTAAAAATTAAAATCCAATATTTTGTCTATCAACAATTAATAATCGTTCATGTATATTTTTTTATGTTATTTAATAACAATTAATTATTCGCATGTGTTCATGAATACGAAGGAATTTTCCGAATTTGTCGTGACCTAAACGATACGTGGCCAATTGGGCATGACAAAAGCATGTCTAGGATGCTAAAAGTATATTCTATGTTCGAAATATACGTCTATTTCATAAGCTCACACAATTGAGTTGAGATTTGATCGATTGGATAAGCACAGAGACCCATACAAACACATCGTCTTGTGGTCATATGCATAGCAGGTACAAGTAGCATTCATAGAAACTTTATGTTTCAACGTTTCATGCAACATCTTGAGCTACGTGCAGAGACAACTTTGGGTCCGGCTATATGGGGGACTGACAGCATTTGTAACTGGAGGAGAATAAATGGAATCGGATTCTCCACCGAGCCTAAAGGAACTGAGCTTAAAAATCAAATAATTTGGATTATTAAAATTTGATCTAATGGTTATAATTATTATAACTTTTAAAAGGCCCTCTGTTTATAGCTATTGAATCAAATTTCAATGACCCAAACCATTTGATCCTTAGGCTCAATTTCTTTGGATTCGGAGGGGATCCAGTTCCAGAATAAATTGTCTCAACCTTCTACGTCAGGACAAGGATAGTAGTATAGCTCGTTAATGCACATCATAAGCTGACACATACATAATTGCGACTAATAAAAGATAAAAAAAATAGAGTAAATCTCAGTTTACAACTTCATGTTTCGTGGTTTTCAATTTTTAGTACATCAAATTTTTTTCGTCCCAGAATCATACCTAAAGTGTAGACAGTCTCATACATCCGTTAGTTAAACTGTTAAGTCTTCCGTTAATTGATGATGTGACGCCTATGTGGACAATGACTGAACGTCACGTGTCATTAAAGAGTTCACGTGGAAATTAAAAATTCAAAAATAAATTATTCAAAAAAAAAAAAAAAAAAAAAAACCAGCCTTCCCTGAATCCCACCTGGGGAGGTAGGAGACCGCCCCCGGGGGAGGGGGATTTTTTTTAATTTTTTAATTTTCAAGTGGGCCCCTATTGACATGTGGCGCTCAGTCATTGTCCACACAAACGTCAGTTAATGGAAGACTTAATAGTTTGACTAACGGATGTATGAGACTGTCCAAAATTTACTGTGGAACAAAAAAAACCCGATGTACTAAATGTTAAAAACCACGAAACATGAGAGTAGTAAACTAAGATTTATCCAAAAAAATATACGCAAACATGTAAAACCACAATTTGTCTATAGGGAGCATAACAAGGAGCCAAGTATTTTTCCAAATTGAATTAAGTGTATGTTTGAAAGTGCTTATTGAAAGGTTAAAAGTGTTTTTTAACAACTAAAACATCATAATATCTCAATTAAATAATATACTATCGTGATTAAGTTTCACTCTATATAGCATTATTGAATCTGTAATATTGCGTGACGGAAGTCATATTCAATTTCCATGTAAGTTATCGCGCGGAAAGTGCTTTTGACTAAAGTGGGCTGTCAATGGGAAAGGCATGAGGAGGAGGAGGAGCCATCTTCAATTATACATTTGGCATCCTCATCATGAATCACATGATCTTGCCAGTTTTGCAGAACATGTTGATGGATTATACAATAACATGGCAACTTTTTATATTTTAATTTTTCTTCTTCTTCTTCTTTTTTTTTTTTTTTGTTTTTTTTAAGTTGAGCGATATTGTCGTTAAGATAGAAATTAGTTTGCTATTGACAAAGTTCGAACCTCTGCGGTTATGCAAGGGTATCAGTCCTCCCCACCACTATGGTAGAGGACCACCTGCCTTCTTATTTTTATGTACGGGATAGTTGGAATAGGTAGAATTGTGATATGATATGGGGTCCTACAAACAAATCCTTCTAACTGACTTGTAAGTTGTACCTACAATTCTTAGTGGAAAAGGGACTGTTAGCCTTCTGAGATTTTCACCATGGGTTCGCCTCCAGACTTTCAAGGCATGTTTTCTTATTAAGAATCCGCACGCAAGGTATGTGTATCATTCTCATTCTTAAACCTGAACAAACACAGAATGTAAAAGTAGGTCTCACATTGAAATTCAGTATGTCATGACTCGTACTTGAACAACTAGGTACGAGATGAGATCACCAAGGGAGTTGTTTATGACTTGAACAACGAGTATCATTCTCATTTATGACTTCTCCGATTCACGCTTCAAGGAGCACTGGGAATCTGGATTGGATGAGCTTTGGGATTGAAAATAATGGACGGAAAGTAACACAATTGCAATGGAGATTCAGGCTGACTAATTAGTTTGCAAAAGTACTTTTGATCACACGAGTCGTATAAGAGTCAAGTCAGACAGATTCAGCAACTGGAAAGCATAAAAGATGGATGCCATTTTTAAACCACATGCTCGAAAACAGGTAATGCATAGACGATCAAGAAATAAACAACTCATCAGCATTAGGCATCATCGCTATATCATATGTAGAGCCTACAGATCAGGCATCTGGAACCGCACGTGTAGTTGCAGAAAAAACGTAACTTTTAGCCATAAATGCAAATAATTCTGCAGTGCAGTGAGTAACAATTGAAAGCTAGCCATACTTCATATCATCGTGAGATTTGTGGTAATCATTCATTAACATTGGAACACCACGCTCACAGATTAGAGCGAAATGAATGTGTTTGTGATAAGGGAATAAGGGTAAGTTGCAGAATGACGGCAGTCTTTGAAGACAATTGGTTGCTGTATCTAGTTTCTATGAATGAATGTGAATAATAGCGTCCAAACTTCACATATATCACTAGTATGAACTGTGATGCACAATTTAATGATCTCAAATCGTTTAAGATACTCAATTTAACACCAAAAAATAGAGTTGTTATGGCACACATTTCTGATTAAGAGGCGATAAGGAAATAAAAACTGTAAACCTACTCCCAACTTTAGATAAAGCTTTAAAAAGTGCCAATATGAATTACAACGTGTATGACGAACCTCAGTCAAGTTCGTCAGTCTGCTGATTAACTGCATCGACATCCTCATCGTTATTGTTTCCTGTTAAGTGATGAAGCAACACACCAGCTGCAACGCTGACATTTAAGCTCTCCACAGCCAAAAATGATTGGAACTCTTCAGCTGAGCACGCATGATTCCCTTCCACGGTTTCAGTATCATCAACTCCACCAGCAGTAATTTCCATGGGAATATTCCCCGGGATTCTAATCAAATCAGTGCAAGATCTTTCCACCAAAGGTCTCAACCCAGTGCCCTCACTTCCCAGAACAAGAATTGTTGGTACACTAGGTGAAACCTTGTTCAAAGGTATAGCTTTGGCAGAAACAGAACCTCCAAGAACTCGCCAACCATTTTCGGCTGAGGATGTTAGGAACTGCATCATATTCTTGCAGTATCTCAACTCCATCAACTCAAGTGAGCCTGCACTTGCTTTGCTCACAACGCCACTCAGTGGAGCTGAATTCTTGGCACATAACACCACCCCAGAAGCTCCAAAGAAGTAAGCAGACCTGATGATTGCTCCCACATTCTGAGGATCCGTAACCTCATCCAAAGCAACCCAAAGAGAGCCCTTATCTTCCTCAACCGAAACGGGGTCCAATTCGTTAATTTTCACCATCTCCAACGGAGAAGCATCTAGAACCAGACCCTGATGTGGTCGATTATCAGTAGCCATATTAAGATCATGCTTGGACACATCCTTTACGTTTAACCCAATCTTGTCAGCCATCATTAAAATTCTCTCAAAGCCCTTCTTGTCCTTCTTCTTCCTATTATTTTTGCTCAAATCCATCCCTTCTTGAACATACAATGCATAAAATTCTCTTCTTCCAGCTGACAAAGCAGCCAAAACTGGACCAACGCCATAAACACTTTGGCCAATCATCCTAGGCACGGACGATTCAGTAGCCTCTTTCCATGTCTTCTTACCCCAATCTTCCTGCCTATTCCACCTTCGAAACTCAGGTCTCTCACGTCCAGGTTTTACATCTTCCATTCCACTGAACTTGTTTTGAATACGATCCCACCTTGGATCATCAACAGCCTCCATTTCTTCTTCTTGTTCATCTCCTTCTTCTACATCTCCTTCTGTATCAGCTTTCTCAAATCTTCTGTCCCTCCCTCGGTAATCACTCTGACGATCCTTTACCACACTTCCCCTTCCAGTTCTACTTTCTCTACCCCATTGCTCCGATGTACCACTTTTCCTAACATAACTTTTTGCTGTATCGGCTTCGTCCAATCTTTTGTCCCTCCCACGGTGATCACTCTGACGATCCTTTACCGAAGTTCCCCTTTCAGTTCTACCTTCTCTACCCCCATACTGCAATGGACCACTTTTCCTAACGTAATTTTTTCTTGACACGTCCCAAGGAGCACGGCCAGTTTTCGAATTTGTTTCTTCCTCTAACCTATTTCCCGATTTTCCCCAAGACGACTCACTACTATCTCCATCTAATCTCTTTTCCGCTTCTCCCCAAGAACCATTATCACTAACTTCCTCTAACCTCTTAGCAGATTGCTCCCAAGACGAAACAGATGTCTTCGCCGTAGTTCCCTTCTCCAACCCTTTTGCTCCCCTAGCTTTTGCTGCCGGCAACCACGGGAGTCTTTTCCTAGCTCTACCCACACCACTCCCTCCATCAACTCCCTGACCCGAGCAACTCGAAAAACCTCTACCTCTTACAAAACACCAACTCTGTGCACCACTTGTAATCCTAAACCCACCAGAAACACTTCTGGGTTTTGCAACAACCCCAGTTTCCAGAATCTCACAATACGAACCGGTTGAAAAACGAACCAAATGTGACAACCCACAATTTTTTTCACCAAACCCGCATGTTGGTTTTGTGAGTTTGATCGACCTAAGGTTTATTGGGGGTTTTGGATGAGACCCGATTTGTAAAGATTGAAACTTTGAGGTGTGAAACGATTTGGGCCTCGAACAAACCCTAATTGCCAAGGGAAATGCTTGGCCTTTTGCTAAATTCGCATACATTGTATTCTCTATTTTCAAAAATTCAGAAAACTCGATCCGAAAACATAAAAGGGGATGCAGAGAAAGAGCAAAAACCTGATTCAAAAACGATTTCTGAAGAGTGTCGAAGGCTTTTGGTTCACTGTGAAGCTTCTCCGCACTTCAAACGACTTTGTATCCCTGAACGGTTCCAGCCACCACCATGAAGCTTTGCTGAAGAGTGAGGATGGCGGGGAGGTTAAACAGCAGCCTTGGAAGATAAGATACTTTAAGCTGTCAAACGACGTCGTAGCCCTAGAACCTACGAGTGAACCCGACCCATGGATTTTGATGGACTATAATGCCCCTTAACCCGTTATTTTTTATCTTTTTTCTCTTGGTTTTGTTATGTTTGTTTACTTAATTTATTGGGAAAGAAATAAATCAAATAATACTTAATTTTCTTAATTTGTTGGGAGTAATATTTTTTTTTTTTTTTTTATGAAGCAAAAAGAAAAAAAATAATTTGCAAATGAAAAAAATGGAAACATAGGGCCAAATGAGTCATTGTGTAGCAGGAGTTGACATTTTCTTGCACCCGTAACCAAAACCCGACCGAGCCAAACGACCCGCGATATTTCACAAGGATATTTCCGTCAAAACGGCCAAACAAAAACCTAGAACTATAGGGAAAACAGGCCCTCTTAATTCGATCTCTATCGACTTCTCCGTTCTCCAAACAAAAACCTTCGAAGGCTCGAAGCAGAGAAAAACCCTCTCCTCCCACCACCGCCTTTAGACACAATCATGGGAACTCCAGAAACATCCCGGGAACCGTGCCCCGACCGCATCCTCGACGACATAGGCGGCGCCTTCGGCATGGGCGCTGTCGGCGGTTCCGCCTTCCACTTCATCAAGGGCGTCTACAACTCCCCCGCCGGCGCCCGGTTCATCGGCGGCTCCCAGGCCGTCCGGATGAACGCTCCGCGCGTCGGTGGAAGCTTCGCCGTCTGGGGGGGCCTGTTCTCCGCCTTCGACTGCACCATGGTCTACGTCCGCCAGAAGGAGGACCCCTGGAACTCCATCATCGCCGGCGCCGCCACCGGTGGCTTCCTCCAGATGCGCCAGGGGCTTGGCGCCTCGGCCCGATCGGCCGCCTTCGGTGGCGTTCTTCTGGCGCTGATTGAAGGAGCTGGGATCATGCTTAATAAGTTTATGAGCCAGCAGCAGCAGATGCCGGTTGTGATTGAAGAGCCGGCGAATATGGCCGGTATGCCTGGGCTTCCTCCGATGGGCCGGGCTCCGGGTCAGCCTGGCCCACCGGAGATGGCAACGTCCGTCAGCAGCGGGTCTGAGGCGAATTCGAGCTCAGGATCGTGGTTTGGAGGGTGGTTCGAAAAGGGGAAGGAGTCTGAGGCCAAGAGCAGCGGAAGCGCGACGAAGATTTTGGAGAGTTTCGATGCACCGCCAGTGCCGACCTTCGAGTTTAAGTGATTGATTATGGTAAGGATTAAGGAGGAGGGTTTTGCTTGGAAGGCTGATGATTAGATTGTATTTAGGGAGAGGGGGGGGTGGTTTGGTATTGAACTGCGCGATTTGAGAAAGTTAAGGTTTTTATTTCTAATTTTCGCAGAAACGATATGTTTATGTTGTGCTCTGTCTTTTACTAGGTTTTTTGGAATAACCAAGAAATTATAGCTTGTATTATAATGCTTTTCCAATTCAAATTTGATGTCTTGCTTGAATCGTTGTTCCATGCTTTTGATCTGCAAAAGAATGTTTTGTAATAATTTTGTGGATTAGGAGCGGTAAGAATTTGCGTACTTTGGATTGTTTTCACCTAATTTTCGAGGACAATGTGATAATTTTGTTGTGACTTGGTCTAGCATTTGCATGCTGGGCTTGGTGCTTGTCTGCTTGATCATTACTTTTTCTGTATTTCTCGTGTTCATGCATTGAGACTGGACTATTTTACACAAATTTGTCCTGGTTATATGGATATAGAAAGCTTTGGGAACTAGTTATTGCGTTGAGGCTGGTAAGGTTCACAAAGAGTAGATGTGAATAGCATCATTCAAATTTAACTTAGGGTATTTGTAACTGCATGACGTTCTTGTTTATGCTTGTAAAGATTGAAGTGATCACATATGCAGAGAAGAAAATCCCTTTCCTTTGAGAACTAAGCCAGATAGTTTATGTTTCGTTGTTCCAAGCATTAGTGTTATTCTGTAATCTAAGCCAGATATATTTGAATGTTGTGTGTGGCATGTTAGTCCTGTCCTTTATGCCCCGAATAGAAAGTTGCTGAATGTATTCGTTGTACTCCATGATTGTATTTGGAATAGAACAATGCTGAATTGGTATGCATTGTAGTCCATGATTGTATTTGGAATAGAATGTCGCTGAATTGGTAATGCGTTGTAGTCTATGGTTGTGCAAATATTTGGAGTTCTGCTCGAACTTGTATTTTTTCCCCATGGCATTGCCAGTTGCCGATGCATGTTTCATTGGACAATGCTATGATTAGGGCGGTCTATGATTCTTTAATTTTGGCCATTGATTAATTGGTGGTTCTGTCTTTTCATTCTTTCAGTGGATGAACAGCCTAAGACTGCTATGGATATTTCATTTTTGCTTTGAGGCGCTTGAGGAGCAGTACATAGTAGAGACACGAAGCTCGCCACAACCATAACGTCGAAAGAAGTTGGGAAAACTCAAACAGTTAGGTGTTCCTGTGTTAGAATTAAGGATCATTGTTATACCCTGGCCGGTGTACTAGTTTCGATAATTTATTCGCCTATATGTTTCAGGGATTGTACGTTATACTCTGGCTGGAAAACTAGTTCCTTAATTAAGACGAATGTTAATTTCATGTTTCCATTAATGTGAAATTACTTATCCTTAATACAAACTCGAATGCGAATGACTTGGTTTCGGAACAGGTTGTATGGTGTGGTACATTCATCTTTGTCTTCTGCTCAAATTTTTATTTTGGTACATTAATCGTTTTGTTTTATATCCGCCCACAAGTCCAGCCTCGACGTGGGTCTTTTCCTTGACGCGATCAAGGTTGGCGCTGCTGGGTCGAGGTCGATGGATTTGTACGGCAGCCAGATACTGAAGAGGGATTTTGAGCCGGGATTCTATGTGAGCCACTTCGTGAAGGATTTGGGCATTTGCTTAAAGGAGTGCCAGAAGGTGGGACTTGCTCTGCCCGGATTAGCCCTGGCTCAGCAGCTGTACTGAAGGCTCACGGCGAGGGCAATTTGTGATTTCAGGCGCTTATTGTGGCGGTGGAGCGGTTGAATAATGTGTCACTTGAATCTGCTCCTGCAAAATAATGACTCTGCAAATGCATGTAGTATGAAATGTTGACGTGGATTAAAAAATTAATATAGTATGTTGACGTGGCTTAATCATGACCTCGAGCTCCTAGAAAATTAATATAAAATGTTGACAAGGTCATGACTCTGCAAATGCATACAGTATGAAATGTTTCTTCGATTTTGTGTAGAAATTTTGGTTATTTCTTGCTCAGTTGCTTTAATGCTTATAGTATGAAATGGTTCTCTCATACCAAATTAAGCAATTGCGTGTCTTTAGATATATGCTTGGTAATTCTGCAGACGTGGGTGACTGTTGGGAAAATAGTTAATTATTTTTGTTGTTTAGGTTTTAGACCCAGTTCTTTAGAATTAGGTTTTCATTTCCTTGCTTATTAAGATTGAATCTGCTCCTACAAAATAATGACTTTGGACATCAAAATTTCCACATGTCTCTCTCCAATACATTCAACTGTGTAGAGTTTACCTTTGTAAAATATAGCATCAATATACCTGGTCTTAAGAGTGCTGCAACTCCAACGTTTTTGCCCAAGAAAGCAATCTTTGATTTCTCGTTTATTTAGAATGCTACAACCACAAAATTGTCTCGATCCAAATTGGGAACAGCGGACAAGACAACTTTTATCTTTGTGTTATCGTTTTTTCTCGACAGAAAGCTGCCCAAGCGAGGGAGGGGAGGGAGAGAAACGACTTCAAACTTGGGCCGCCAACGCTGCGTTGAGTTGTTATGGTCTTTTGCAACAGACCACCACTTCTTGCAAACTGCAGCAACATAAACTTGGTCGAGGGGTTCCAACACCTTATTCAGAATAAAAAAGACAACCTCTTGAGGAAGGCTTGCCCAGTCTGCATAATCAAACAGGTAACTAGTCTGCTCGAGGTCAATGTACCAGCCATGTGGATTAAAACAGAATGAAATATAAATGAATTTACGAAAAGAAACAAACCAGAGAAAACCAAAAAACAAGAGAATAATGCTTTAATGCATTGTACTCGAGTCACAAGGCAGATTGTTTAACGAAAGAGTTTCTTGGGGAACAAGGAAAGTTAAATCCCAGGGGAATATGAAAGCAAAAGATGGTCTATAACTGTTACTTGTAACCTAAGATTTAATCCTAGGCGTTCACACAGTCGTATCTCACACGAAATCCTAATCTCATGGGATTCTATTTGAACCACTTTCTGAATGATTTGAACGTAAAATTTTGTTTTTCAATTTGATCTTCCATATTGACTGCTACACAGTCCCGTTCTATAATCAGAGAATGCTGTAATTGGTGGTTGCATAAGAAGTACCTTTTTACATACACAACTTACATCAAAACCTTGGAGAACTAGATATTGTTGAGGTAGTCACTTCCCGTTTTACATACACAACATCAAAACCACAGTCTAGTGATATTTCTTTTCATTGATAAGCAAGACGTCTCAAATTCGACTTACATGAAAACAAGGATGTATAATATTAACGTTGAGTTCAATATTAGTTCCGACTAACCCATTGTGTGGCTTAGCCTAATCCCCTTTCCCCTTATGCTTCTAGGCAACACAGCCTTTGACATAATGAATGAAAACGTGTAAAAACTGAAATAAGATAAACATGAAAACAAAGAAGTAACGCATTTGATACTACAAATTATTGAGAGACATGAAACAGGTGAAACATAAAGTACATAAACTATAAAAAAGAATAGAATACTTAATCACTCCTTAATCTAAATTTATAATTAATCCTTGCAATTAAGATAAACTGGAAGCTTGATTAGATATCAGAGTCCCTCAACAGGTGGGGTTAACCAAAGTATGTATGGCTTCCAACGGTTTTTTTTATAGTTATATTCCAGAATGGTCTCTTTCTCGTCTAAGTTGAAGATACCCATATCAAACGGTACTTCCGAATATCGACGAAAGGGCCCTGCTGCAAAATTTAATACAGCATCCGCATAGTATATGGAGTTGCGCTGACACCCAGGAAAATCTGAAGCTAAAACAGATACCGATGTCTGGTTGTCACCAACGAACAAAACTTCGTCACCGATACTCGTTACCTCAACCGCCTCCGCCATCAATTGTCCCCCATCAATACTGAAAGCCAACTCGTAAACCCTAAATATCACTCCGGCCGGCGGCCGCTTGTTATTGCCAGGAATCCTACCACTTTCTGGACGCCAACGTTTCTGAATATAGAACAGGTTTCCTATGGTTGATTCCACAAGATATCCGAAACGAGAAAATCTTGGCGTTTCAATTACAAGGCGTGCCGTTGGTTTTTGCCACGAATGGGCCTTTTTAGCAGAGAGGCTTTGGACATTGAATACTGACACACGAAGTGTACTTCCACTACATTCAACTGCGTAGAGATCACCTTTGCAAAAGATAGCATCGATAAACCTGTACGGCCCAAACGTGTAAGTCCAATCCTTTTGTCCCCCTTTAAAGAAAGCAATCCTGTTTTTCCCATACATGGAGAATGCTACAACCACGTAATTGTCTCGATTCAAGTTGGGAACTGCGGACAAGATAACCTTTATGTTTTTGACTTTTTGCGGCGCAAAACCGCCAGCATTCAAGGGAGGGAGAGAAACGCTCTCAAATTTTCTGAAAGGGTTGAGGAGAGTAATATGGCATTGAGGACGATGTTCTACTTGGGCCAACCAACCATGACCACAGCCAAAAAAGTACCTCTTGGTCTTCGTCCTACTAATAAGACTAGGCAACGACATTTGAACATTCTCGTAGGTTTTTCCTTCCGAAACGCCATACAATACTCCTCTCATCTTTGTTCGGCTATGAATGTTACGACTCTTTCCTTTGGAGTTTTCAGGGAACAGTAGCATGGGAGGAAGCACCCTATGCCAACGCTGCGTTGAGTTGTTATAGAGTTTAGCAATAGACTGCCATCCCTTGCAAACGCCGGCAACACGAACATGATCCACGTATTCCGACAGCTTATTCAGAATCACAGAGAGAACATCTAGAGGAACGCTTGCCCATCTTAAATGATCAGATGGGCAACTAGTACTGGTCGAGGTCATGGTACTGGCCATATTGATGAAACAGTAGAAAAGATACGGCAATTTATGAAAAGAAAAAACGAGAGAGAACAAGGACTACCCGAAAAACAAGAGAAGAGTGCTTTAATGGGTTTTACTCCTGTCGCGAGGCATAATTAAACAAAGAGTTTCTTGGGGAACAAGGAAACTCAAATCCTTAGGGGAATGAGAAAGCAAAAAATTCTCTCTAGGTGTTACATTTTACCTAAACTTTTATTCACATATATATGATCACAATCATATCTCACATGAAATTCTAATCTCATGGGGTTCTATGCGTGAACCACTTTGTGAAGGATTTGAGTGTTTGTTGAAGGAATGTTGGCAATTAGCTATTTATTACGGGAAAGAAAAATTTTGCACTCCCTTTTTAGATCCTCTGTCTTGACATTTGTACAGTTCCGTTCTAATATGGTGATGAAGAATGCTTTAATCGGTTATAACGTGTAAGGATTGCGACTAGTGTATTTTGACGTGCATAGTTTAAAACAAAGAAGTTACTTGTTAGCACAATCTGAGTTACTAAACATGCATGTTGGCATAATCTGAACCATTGAATGAGTTTTAAGGAATAAGATTAAAAACCTAGTATAGTCTGGGACCCGTAACCCTATTCCCTTCAGGGAATACTTTTGCTCACCCCCTAAAGTGGGGGTGATGCTCAAACCCCTTATGGTGTTAGCACAGAGTCCTCCACGTCCATAACTTCATCATAATTTGTATAATTATCCTCTGTATATTGCTACCTTATCTTGAAGATTTATAATTACGTTAGGATTTGTATTGGGAGTCATTCTATCCCTTGAGGATTCTCTGTACACTTGTATATTTATACTTGATAATAAGCAATGAAAAGCTTGAGACTTCCATCAATATTTTTGCTTGTGTTTACCGTGTTCTTTCTCTGAATATATAATTTCTACAGTGGGGGTTGATGCTCAAAACCCCCCCCCCCCCCCAACAACTGATTGTCATTTTAAATTTTGAGATTCGTGTCTTAATGCACTCCTTGTCTTCCCTATAAGCCACAGAATGTCCAGGCTATAATTTGGTATTCAACACGTCTTTCAAGGTAGTTGACTCTGAGATATTTTCACTTTGCAAGCAAAGAGTAATACCGCTTGTAAAGAGAAACGCCACTAGTAATAAAAGACCATAGTACTGGTGGTGTCTCTTATATTGTTGAGAAGAAGTGATTTTCCGTCCTTGGGTTATTCATCATTCTTCTTATCAATACTCGTTGTGTTTTGGATTGTGGTTATGTGTTTTTTCCCTAAACTGAGTACATTTAAACAGAAAAGAGTTGTCTATCAATGGTAAAATTCAAGGATTGGAATCAAGGGCTTAGCCTTCAAAATTGAAGCGTTTGTGTTTGTTTCGTTATCGTTTTTGCAGAACTTTTTGTTTACAAAGCATAGAATTTCAGACTAGACAATGAGTTGCAGTGTTGCACCAAAGCGAAGTATATACGATAAAACATGTTCGTAAAGTAGATTGAGTTATATTAATTTCCAAACTATACATTTACGTATCAAAGTCACAAAAATAAAAATTAAAAATAAAACAGAGAAATAATAAAGGAAACAAATTTTATCTGGATGTTACTTGTTACATAAGCTTTCAGCCATGACCATCTTCCTAAACTTCATCCTTGCAGTGTATACTTCTTTCCTGTGAATGCTTGCAACTTTGGCTTTTCGGCCTTCTGAGACTGCTCTTGGCTGCTCTTCTGTGGGACAAATTTTGGGGTTTCATTCGTGGGATGGTTGGCACTTAAACCATTTGTACCAAACACAAGCTTTCCATTAGGTCGATGCGCTGATGCAGAAGTTGATAACATAGAGCCCTTGGTTCCAGTCTCACTCTCCAGTTGGCTCTGCTTGAGAATGCCGGGAGAGGAAACCGGTGCAACTGGTTGGTCCAATGCCGGTTTTCCATCCAATCTTCTTACTGAACCAGTAAAGGGGCTGAATTTCGGAATCTTCTCAGGTGGTTCTTCTTCCTTTTCGGCTTCTCTTGGTCTCTTCTTAGACTGAGTAGATGGCATTGCTGGCTTTTGAGGCTCCACATAATCAAGGGGAGGGGCAAAATCAACCTCGCAGTTGGTATCAATTATACAGATTGCAGGGGAAGGCTTTGTTTCGATTACATCAATGTAGTACTCCTTATTGTTATAAGGAACCATGATAATGTCACCAGTGGCTAAACACGAGTATCTCCTCAAAGCAGTCTCCAAAACAGCTTTCAGGTCTGATATGTCAAGAAAATTCATGGTGTGAGGCTGCAACTTCATGTATGTTCCCTTCACAAGGCTGTTGTTTTTCACCCGAACAATATCGCCTTCTTGTAAAAGCAGCTTCTTCATCATCCAGTATGGTAAATACATTTGGCCCTCATCAGCGATAAATTCCGACACCCCACAGTGAGCGATTCGTCCAGAATCACCAGGATTGCTGAGTTCAAACAACATGGGGTAATCGACCTGTAAATTTGACACTAGGCGGTCGAGGGCTGAGGGCGGCATTACGATTTTATCACCATTTTCGAGATGTTCCTTGTTGATGAAGGAAACAGGATAACAACGGTAAAGCTGCTCAAAGGAGTTAAAATTACGGCCAGGTTCTTCATAAATTCTGCCATAGAATTCGGAATCACTGACATGGTCTTCAGAAAGATTGCTGCTATGGTCTTCAGAAGAACTGCTATCATCTGCAGAGGATTCACTGACATAGTCTTCATCAGATGAATCACTGCTATAATACTCTTCATTGGATGAATCGCTGATGCAGTCTTTGGAAACCATATTTGCTGCGTCCAAGAAGTTACTGATGTATCGTCTCCTTGTGCTTGTAATGGATGAATTGACGGAGGTAATTCCGAGTTTCTTGCAACCCAAGGAACTGAGACTCTAAACAGTGAGTGCAAAGAATGTTGCTTTCTCAGATACTAATTGATGAAATGTGTGAAACCAAAGCGGCCTCCATTGTATTTATACACAATTCAAAACCAAATCCTATAAGGATAAGGAAACCGTAATCTCACTGGAAAACCTAATATTTGAAGAGCGTACAGAATAAAACTTTTAATCTTGTCCGTCTACAATCCTTACTTGGTAACTAATCTTCTAATCGTAGCCGTTCGTAATCCTTATAGGACTTTTCGCAATCTGATAATTAAGTAGCTAATCTTCAGGGTGTGAGAGTAAATGATGCGTGGTGTGAAAACAAGTGTGTCCAGTGTCCTTGTACAAGTCAAAAACAGGATCGTTTAAGAAATAGGAAACCTAATTTCACTTGGAAACCAGAAAATAAAATAAAAAAATAAACAAAATCTAAAACTTTCAGAAAAGAAAAAACAAACAAAAATAACATCTTAAACTTAATATATAATTCTTAAGTAAAGCTAAATAGACAGTGTCGGTTTGACCCTTGATGTCGAAGAACTTCGGTTCAGACGCCGGACAAGACTAAAAGAGAAACGCTGGGTTCAAAAATGAGGTAGGCTTGGGTCTCAAATCAGCGGAGATGAGCCATGAGAGTTTTTTTCGTAGTTTTGGTATGTAGGAAATTAGTGGTCCGGACTCCGAACTCTAGAAGTTCTCCTCTACGTCAGGTGATTTCACAATTTGAAGCCCCGTAATTTGTTAATTGGTGATGATGGGGTGCTTAATGGGTACCTGTTAACAATCCGATAGATAGATTTGCCATGTCATCATATTACCCAAAACAAACCAGGATTTGCATTAAGTAATTATTTTATAATTATTATAATATAAAACAAGTTGTTTACGGTAAAAGAAATCCTCTAAGGATAAGGAAATCACGAATCAGGAAATACTGCAAGAATCCGAACTCCGGCCAAAGGTTCGGATACTTTGATGCTATAAGAATTCCGGTAGCTAAAAACAACATAGGAAATAATAATCACCAAGTCCCAACCGAACCACATAACTAATTAAAAACAATATTCCAAACATTTGATTACTAGGAGTATTAACTATTAACTAGATTTAAAAACTTAAGGGACCATCCCCGAATATCAAGAGCCCTAATTAATCAACTTCCTTAATGCACTGCATCAGACTCCCTTGCTTGGAAAGAATTCGTCCTCGAATTCAAGTTGTGGGTCGAAGAGAAGCCCAGGTATCTTAGGTTACGCAAAATTTGTTTCATGACCCTTTTCATTTGAAATTGGCATTGTCCACTACAAACAAAAAGATGTTTGAAATATTTGCTTGTTATTGGATTGCAAAATTCTTCTGTCATATTTGGTCTTGCCACCCAAAAATTCTTCTCACCAGATTTCATCTCATTAACAAGATCAATTAGATTCTCGGGCAACTTCAAACTAAAGGCATAAACTGCAATAATCAACTTGTTCACTAATGCAATGGCTCTCTCATATTCAATTTCACTTTGAAGAACTTTACCAATAACACAAACAAAGTTGACAGAATCTTCATCGACCTCATCAAGAATTCAAAATCTCTTTCTTTGCGTCCTCACAAACAACTGGCAATTTGTTTTCTTCAACTCCACAAAATTCATCGATCCCAAACTGTTCAGTTTGCTTACTAGAACAAATTTCGCAATTGTCTTCAAGGGAACAATTGAATATTGGTGGTAGATTACATTAAAGAATATGACACACCAAAATAACCACCACAACTTGAACTCAAAAGTCAGCCTCATCACTTGAGTTTCCTGAGCTTAACTCTCAAATCAACATTTTGTCGCTCAAGTTGCATGGTTAGGAGTTCGACTTGTTGTTGATCTCTTGAATTTCATCGTCTCTCTCATTTTTGTGATTTTCCTGCACATGGTCACCACACCTTCCTCTACCATTCCTTGCTGCCATTTAGATAAATGGTGCGAAAGCTACCCAAAGAGCATAGCATAGTTCTGATGACCAAATGATGCGGGAAGGAAAACAAAGAGATGTTTATTGAAATCTCAAGCACAACTATGACCCAAGGAACATATAGAGAACTAGTATCTGTTAGACATAAATTCATTCAAAATTTATAATCCCTTTCTTTCTTAACAATTGTAGCCTTTTAATAGGCTTAGCAATAACACAGTTCAATACTAACACAACTTCCTAGTCTACTACAACATAGGAAATAATAATCACCAAGTCCCTACCAACCACATAATTAAAATAATATTCCAATGAGTGAGTGTTTCCTTCTTAAAAAAAAATCAAGCGTTTGACATGATTGTGTGAGTGAATCCACGATTAACAATGTCGAGCGACCTCCATTGTCCTTGGTTGAGTAATGTTATTTATCCCCTTGTCCTCGAAACCCTTGGGTTTTCCTTGCATTAAGTGGCATCATAGTGGGGTTTTTCAGATTTTTATCTGAAATCCTTGTGGAGGTTGCGCACATCATCGATGTTGGTCATCAAAACTAAGTCAGTTCTGGTGACTTATATTTAGACTGTTTCATATTACTGAGAAGCTTTGGTAGTTTTGTTTTCAGCGCAATAAACGACGTGTCAAATGGAGTTTTGTGTGAACAAGTATCAGCACAACACCACAAAGCGGTAGTGCTGTGCGGAATCTGGTCAGTTTTATTTTGGACTAAATTTCCAATTCAGTAAGTAATATTCAACCTTGAAGTCATATATCATTTAAAATCTTTTCTAGTATAGTTCCATATCTCCAAGTGGTTCTTCAATCTGTTATTTCTACAATACAATATCCTCATTTTGCTAAAACATGTCGTTGTTGTCTAGGTATGTACTATAAACTGAAGTAGACAACATGGTTACTTTGGATTTTTTAGGTGACAACTTCCTAAATCTTGATCTTCCAAAGTTTGATCTTTGTCCAAGTGGTTCTTGTGAAGTGTTGTGATATATGTTTTGAGGTTGAAGAATATTCGAGCATGGAGTTTGGCACGAAAATGGAACATATTGAGTACATTGATGAAGTCGATAATCTTGCCAATTGGGAACCCCAATCTTTGGGGCTTACGATAGTGATGAGGATATTACTGCAATGGTTGAAGGTCTTCATGTACAACTTCATAAAGAGGTAAAAGCTTTGCAGTTGTATGACGATTATGTTTAGGAAGATTTTGTTGCTCGGGACATCAAAAGAAAACCTTCGGAGAATAAAGTTGCTTCATTTGCGTCTGAGTCTGTATTATCCTTCCAAGACTACTCATCTCAGAAAATTAGTTGGAAATCACATGTGCATGATTTGAAGTCAATTTCTAGGTTACCTGCTTGGGAATAACGTGGAAGTGCAGTTTAATTGAATGTTTTGTGGGTTTGAAAACTTTAACAACTTTGAATCTCCTTTTGATGTGGTTGTTGTAGAAAGATTTGAAAGGTCATCCAAAAGAACGAGGAAAAAAATCAAAGAAAACTTGAGGACGAACTTTTTTTTTTTAATTTTTAATTTATTTATTTTTATTATGGAAAAGGAGTATGATGCAGTGCACGATAATACATATAGCTCCTATATTAAATTGGATTATTTGTGGCTTCTCATTTTTTAAAGTGATGTTTTTTAGGTGCCTAGTAACTATAATCTTAGTATTAAGTATTTATTCTACCAATATATATTGTAATCTCTCTATTTAAAGGACTTCACATGTATGTTTAAGGCGGACTTGATTGAATGAAAATATATTTTGCTTTGTTTAATTGAAGTGAGCCAATGTTTCTTCTTTCTAAAATCAAGTGTTTGCTTAGTCGTGTGAGTGGATCTGCAATTAGCAACATCGAGCGAACTTCGTTGTCTCTGATTGAGTGATTCCCAGATTATTTATTGCGGTCTCCTTGAGACCCTTGGGTTTTCCTGCAGATGGCACATGTTTATATCAATGAAATGTTGGTGGATATCATTTTTCTTAGGGTTTTTATCACAAATAGTTCATAAAATTGAAAACCGATAAATGTAGTCCTTGAAATTATGTGTCGCAAATCAATATAATCATTTCATCATAATTCGGTCATATATATGGATCCATAAATTTAATTAAATATTATTATATGAACTAAAAATATTTAAATAATAAAAACAATTGTTATTTTTTATAATTAAAATCTTAAAAAATAAAAAAAGGAAGGAGATAATTGAACACTGTTCATCATCTTCTTCCCCTCCCACCCTCCCACTACAGCTCGCACCCCACCCCCTCCCTCTCCCACATGAAGTTGTGGGTATCTTTGGAGTGCTGCCGTCGGACTTGCCGCCGTCGTAAGGGAAGGCGGTAGCAGACTGTTCAAGCTCTCCAAGATCTGCAAAAACGTGTTTGGTTCCGGTCACTGTCGTCTTCCCTGTTTTTCCACACCGCAGAAGAAAACAGAGCAACTGGGTTATTTTATACTGCTGAAAATCTGTACACTTCCATAAATTTCAAGACTTTCATGTTTTTTTTTACCACAACCCATTTCTCATACGCCTTAAACCAAAAACCCAGAAGAAGAAAAAAATATAAACAGGAAACAAATGAGAGAATGAGAGAGAGACCTGAAATAGAAGGACAACTGGGTTTGTTGAAGCTGCTTTGGAGCTCTCCATTTTTTTATTGATTGGGTGGTGATTCTTCTTTTTTTAATTACAAAAAAAAAATGTTTTTATTGATATAATAATATTTAATTAAATTTGTAGAATCTATTTATGTGACACATCAGCATTTAATAGAATTTTTAATAAAATTATGACAGAATAACAATATTAATTTACGACAGCTATTTTCAGATATTACATTGATCGATTTTTAATTTCGTAAACCATTTTGATTTGATGGCTCAATTTCAAAGATCAGATAAAAAAACCCTTTTTCTTATTCTTTGTGTAGAATTTGACTTCTTCTTTGTTTCTTCCACTTTGCTGTCTATATCAATGAAATCCAGACGTGCTGTTTTTGTCATTCCTAGTCATAAATTTCTGATGGAAATATGGGATCAAAATTCTAACTTTTAGGTCAAATCTTCCACAAGCAAAATAGGTATATTTCATATCTAAAGTCTTCATTCAACAATAGCGTTCCTTCACACTTCAGAATTGAGATCCCAGGAAACTTCACCGCCGTATTTCCTTGCCTTTCACGTACGTCATGTTCGGCAAATGGACCAAGGGCCAAGGGGAGTTCAATTTATACAAACCGTATTTATTCCTTGAACTTTCACCTAGTTTTCGATTTCTCCCATGAACTTTTCTATTGGAAAATTAAGAATTCAAACTAATTTTTTTAGCCAATTTGCCCCTACCTATGTAAGACCATGTGCATAACATATGAGGGTAGTTAAGTCATTTCACTCTTAAAAATGATTAAAAACTGAAAATAAATTAAAAAAAAACAAAAATTTCCCTCTATTTTTCCTACTAATTCCTATCATCAATTTTATTTTTCCCTCTCATTTCTATGCATGAGAAATGACATATGGTGTTATTGTCTTCATAAATAGCTAAGTTAGTCTTTTTCTTGAAGCATGTACTACCATTTTTATTTTCTCTAACAAATTAATAATTTGATAAATGCTCGTAGTGTTATTGTCTTCAAAGCAGTGCATTAATATAAGAAACACGTTCATAATACTCATAAAAAAATGCTCAAGATGATTACATACTTTTCATAATGTCATAATAATCCCAATACAATTCCACAAAATGATCCTTAAGAAGTTGGAAAACGTAAGAGATTTTATCATCCATGAGGTATAAAACCCATAAAATCTCGATTACAAAATATGGGCATTCCACTTAACCAAACACAAGCAAAATAAGGTTTTAGTTATCAAAACAAGAGCACAAACATTCTGCTCGAAACGCACATGACACGTGGAGATCAACTACACTTTCCATGGCCTTCCTTATTTGGTTGGAATCTTGTACCTAAATCTATTTTCATTTCTGATGGCTGAGTAAAGTTGACGGTGTTATGTTTTCCAACTTCTTAAGGATCATTTTGTGGAATTGTATTGGGATTATTATGACATTATGAAAAGTATGTAATTATCTTGAGCATTTTTTTATGAGTATTATGAACATGTTTCTTATATTAATGCACTGTTTTGGAGACAATAACACCATGAGCATTTGTTAAATTATTAATTTGTTAGAGAAAATAAAAATGGTAGTACATGCTTCAAGAAAAAGACTAACATAGCTATTTATGAAGACAATAACATCATGTCATTTCTCATGCATAGGAATGAGAGGGAAAAATAAATTTGAGGATAAGAATTAGCAGGAAAAAATAGAGGGAAAGTTTTGTTTTTTTTATTTATTTTCAATTTTTTAATCATTTTTAAGAGCGAAATGACTTAACTACCCTCGTATGTTGTGCACATAGTCTCACTTAACAGAAATATGAATGGAATATATGAAAAACTAATGGTAGGGGGCAAATTGGCTAAAAAAATTAGTTTAAGTCCTTAATTTTTCAATAGAAAAGTTCAGATGGTAAATCGAAAACTAAAAAAGTTCAAGGGATAAAATTATAAATCGACAATTTACTCATTTATACAAATACAATTTCTTGCCGTCTAAAACTTTGGCAAATTGCAAGCATGTGGTTTTTGTTCGTCTTGTCCATCGTTGGTCTAATACCATGTATAGTAGTCAACTTGTTGGGCTTCTTATCTTCGTATCCCATATCCCTGGACTGTAAAACTAAAGCCTAATTCTTTTTTTCTTTTTTTTTATTTGTCAAACAACTAAAACCTAATTCAGGAATTATAATATTCGGCGCCTTAACTTATACGGAAGAGTCCTTCCTCCTTACACACAAAATACAGTTTGATATGTGCACATAAACTTTTCTCTTTGTGGTTTTAATGAGTATTTTTTTTTAATATAATATGTCATTTATCTTTACAAACAAATTGCAGTTTGACATGTGAGTTTACCTTTCTTTTTATGGTTTTAATGAGTTCTTTTTATAAAATTATAAAAAGTAGTAATAGGGGCTGCTTAAGATAATATTAACTTACGTGTCAATAAAATAGTAATAGCTTTTGGAAAGATCTAAGCAAGTGTAAATGCAAAGCTTTGACCATAACTTTAACAGATGAGTGATAGGGATAGGCGCAAGCCCGCAAGAATTGGTGGGTTTTCTACACTTTCTCCATTGACCATCATTTTCCAAGTCCCCCCACTTGAATTCCAAACCATTTAAAAAGGAAATGGTCACATCCTCTGAGCTCTAACTAACTTGCCATCAACACAACCGCGGGAATCAACCAACTTTTCAATCCCTCTCCCTCCAAATGACTAAACAAAACACCCCAACATCTTCTCTCCAAACCCACCTCCACTTCCTCCTCCTCCTCCTCCTTCCCCTCCTCCTCCTCCTCCTCCCCCATGCCAACTCCCAATCCCTCCAAGACCAAGAACAAGCAGTCCTCCTAAAACTCAAGTCCTACTTAAACTCTCCGCCATTTCTCAGCCATTGGATCCTATCAAAATCAAACGCTTCTTCCCACTGCTCCTGGCCTGAAATTTCCTGCACCAACTACTCCGTCACCAAATTGTTTCTCGACAACAAGAATATAACCCTACCGGTGCCATCCTTCATCTGTGATCTCAAAAACCTCACAGTCATTGATCTCAGCTACAACTACCTCCCCGGAGCATTCCCAAAAGCTGTCTACAAGTGTTCCAAGCTAGAGTACTTGGACCTGTCTCAGAACTACTTTGTAGGCCCCATTCCTGATGACATCGACAGCCTGCCCCGGCTTCAACAACTTATCCTCGCCGGAAACAACTTCTCCGGTGATATTCCTCCCGCCATAGGGCGGTTGCAAGAGCTCGAGAATCTTCAGCTGTACATGAACCAGTTCAATGGCTCTGTCCCACCAGAAATAGGTAACTTGTCAAATCTCAAAGACCTGGACATGTCTTTCAATATAAAACTTGTGCCTTGGAACTTGCCTTCCAATTTTACCAAGTTGAAAAAGCTCAAGACTTTATTGATACGCCAATCGAATTTGATCGGAGAGCTTCATGGGACACTTGGGGAGATGGAGGCACTTGAACAATTGGATTTGGCAATCAACAGTTTGAGTGGGGAGATTCCGAGCGGTTTGTTTTCGTTGAAGAATTTGAGTATAATCTATCTCTTCAAGAACGGGCTTTCTGGGAAGGTTCCTCGAGTGATCGAATCATTGAACTTGAGCATTCTTGATCTCTCTAACAACAATTTAACAGGGACAATACCAGAAGAGTATGGAAATCTTACCAAATTAACAGAATTGGCTTTGTATTTCAATGGTTTTTCGGGGGAAGTTCCGAAGAGCATTGCCCGCCTGCCAAACCTCATACATTTCAAAATCTTCAACAATAATTTGTCAGGAATATTGCCTCCAGAGTTTGGGAGGCACTCAAAACTCGAAGCTTTTGAAGTTTGTGTCAATAGGCTAACCGGAAAACTGCCAGACAATTTGTGCTATTGGGGTAAGCTGGAAACACTTATAGCTTATGAGAATCATCTCAGTGGAGAATTGCCAAGCTCTCTTGGAAATTGCAGCAGTTTGAAGACTGTCAAAGTTCATGATAATTTACTGTCTGGAAACATTCCTAGTGGCATGTGGACGGCGCCAAACTTGACTTCTGTGCTGATAAGCAACAACTCACTTACTGGCGAGCTTCCTGAGAAGCTTTCATCAAATCTTTCACGGTTGGAAATGAGAGACAACAGATTTTCGGGCAACATTCCAATCGGGGTGTCTTCCTGGAGGGGTTTGATGGTTTTTGACGGCGGTAATAACCGCTTTAGTGGTGCTATTCCTCAGGAATTAACCGCGCTTTCTAGCTTATTGACAATTTCTCTTGATCAGAATCAGCTCACCGGCTTTCTTCCATCGGATATTGTATCGTGGGAGTCACTCACTAGTCTTAATTTCAGTCGAAATCAGCTCACCGGAACAATTCCTGAGAAACTTGGTCTTCTGCCGAGACTTACTGAATTAGACCTTTCAGCAAACCAACTTTCTGGTGAAATTCCGGATCAACTCGGGCATCTGAAGATCAACCAACTCAATCTCTCTTCCAATCACCTCTACGGGAAGATCCCTACTGAGTTTGAAAATGCTGCGTATGAAGGAAGCTTCTTGGACAATCGAGGCCTCTGCGCAACTAGCTCGTCAGCAAAGCTCCCCATGTGCAATTCTGAATCCCAAAAGTCCAGCAAACTTATGTCGAAATCTCTTGCGCTAATCTTATCTTTTGGCGTACTGTTGTGCTTGTTGGCTATTTCCATCTCGTTCTTCATGGTCAGAAGTTACTGGAAGAGAAACGGTGGATTGGATTCTAAATGGAATCTCAACTCATTTCAGAGGTTGAATTTCACAGCGTCAGAAATTCTATCGAAGCTCACAGAAAGTAATCTGATTGGAAGTGGCGGGTCAGGAAAAGTTTATCGCGTTCCTGTGAATTGCAATGGTGATGTTGTTGCTGTGAAAAAGATTTGGAAGAATGAGAATTTAGAAGAGAAGCTTGAGAAAGAGTTTCTTGCAGAAGTCAATATCTTGAGCTCAATTCGACATGCCAACATAGTGAAGTTGATGTGCAGCATTTCCAGTGAGACTTCAAAACTTCTCGTCTACGAGTACTTAGAAAATCGGAGCCTGGATCGATGGCTGCACAGGAGAAATAGGCCATCCAATCTCTCGAGGCCAGTCCATCATGTCGCGCTCGACTGGCCTGAGAGGTTGCAGATTGCAGTGGGCGCTGCTCAGGGCCTCAGCTATATGCACCACGACTGTGTGCCGCCCGTGGTGCATCGCGACGTGAAATCGAGCAACATTTTGTTGGATTCTGATTTCAAAGCAAAAATAGGAGACTTTGGTCTGGCCAAGATGTTGGTCAAGCAAGGAGAACTTGCTATAATGTCATCTGTCGCTGGCTCCTTTGGCTACATTGCTCCAGGTAAACCTTATACCCCACAAATGCTAAAGTTAGGGCATGTCTGAGACCGCTTTTAGAAATCACTTCTATTATAAGTGCTTTTGCAAGAAGCGGTTTTCTCTTCTGCTCATAAAATTCTACTAAAACCCTAGTGCTTTGAAGAAGCACGGGAACAAAAAATGCTTCCCAGAAGCACTTCTAAGTTTTTCTGCCAAACACAGTTAGAAGTTCTTTGGGTTGTCAAAAAAGGAGCTTGCCCTTAGTGCCTAAAGAAGTAAGTGTTATTTTTCTTCATTTCCATTAGCAGTAAACTGGTTTTCCTTACCCAAAATGCAGAATATGCTCACACAATGCGATTGAATGAAAAGATCGACGTGTATAGCTTTGGGGTCATCCTTCTGGAGTTGACAACCGGCAGGGAAGCCAATGACGGCGATGAACACACTGCCCTCGCTGAATGGGCGCGGTGTCACGTTCAAGAAAACAAAGCTATCGCTGATGCTTTGGACAAGGACATCAAAGAACCTTGTCACTTGGACAAAATGTGCTCCGTTTTCAAACTCGGCCTCATTTGCACTGAGAGACTTCCAGATGATAGGCCTTCCATGAAGGAGGTTCTGCAAATCTTGCTCCTATACAGCCGTCCAGTACTCAGCAGAGAATATACCGAGCATGTTGCCTCTCCTCTGCTCCAAAACTTGAAGCGCAAGAAGACCTTGGAAGACGATTATGGTAGTTTGGCGACCAATGTCTGATGCCTCATCGAATTCACGAAGAGGAACCAATAAAGGGGAAATAAAACTTTCATTTCGCGTCGGTCTTAAGCTGATCGAATGTATACTATCAGAGGAATTACGTAAGACATACTGATCAGATGTATACTAGAGTGCAGCACTGCATCGTTAAGGATGCCGAGCTGCACTCTAGGCGGCGAAACTACCCTGTATATTTGCATATGCATAACATCAAGAAGGACATAATAACGAGTAGCGAAAATTCTCGAAAATCAGTGAGAACAATCCTATGAAGTCAAAATTTCATTAATGGTGACCAATCTACTTGACAATTTATCAGTAGAATGATCTCAAATCTTAAATAGTAGAAAGTTTCGAACTGAAAAACGAAACCGTAAAACACGTTTTATTTGCAATAGAGAACGAGAGAATGTAGCGCAAAACGTAACTACTCACAGTTTACATCCCATATTTTAAGTAATCCAGGAGAAGTGAGCTTATACACTGATTAACAACACAACGCGCCTAAACATCCGCAGCGCAAAACAATGGGCTGCAGAGAGAAAGCTTAGCCGATTGTCTACTCCAACTGTCTATTATGATCCTAAGCCAATTACCAGCTCTAAGGGATCATAAATTATGGATGGGATGCAATATCTCTCGAATTATAAGCTGAGAACAGCTTGAAATTGATCCGAAGGAAATAGTGAGAAGATAGGGTAAACGAAAACATACAAAAATTGAGAATGTCACACTTCATTCATCTACCTGGTCTTGACCATTTTATGACTCCTCTACCTCATGGTACTGGGAGTGAGAGGCTGCCAGGAGGGCAGCTCCAATTCCAGAGCCATCGTTTGAGTGCTCGACAGAAATGTGCTCAGCAACTTCGTCACCCAACAACTCTTTGAGAGTACACTCCATGCTGGTGCGGAATTCGGTGTAGTGCTCATACAAACCACCATCCATTGCAACCACCGATTTTTGCTTCTCTCCATCCTTAACTGTGTCTCTGCCTAACTTCTTAAGCACTCCCAAGATCCCAGCAGCAGATAGGCGGGCCCCACGAGTGGCAACTACGTCGCAGACTGCCACAACAACCTTTCTCATTTTCAAAGAGGTGTTGGAGATCTACAATATTGAAAAATCAACCATAAGCTCATGTCACCTGTCTAGAGATTGGCTTGAAATTTTATAGAGAAAAATATGAACGCTCTTTTTTAAGAGTGCACGTTTAAGGACGCCACAAACAAACAGATGACGGCACCGCGTTCACTCTATGAAAATGTGATTCAATGAAAGGTATCATGCTTTCAACCATTCCTTGTTTTTACTTTTCTAACCACCCACCCAAAAGAATTATGAGGAGGAAAAGAAAAAATTAAAGTAATTTGCACAGCCGGATAACAAAATGATCATGTTATCCCATAGCATGAGCAATGTACCTCAAGGATGTCCTTGAGTTTGCTCCCGACCACTTTCAGATCTGGAGATGAGTCATGATGTATGGCAGACATGTCAGGAGTCCTGCAATTATTACAACCACGCCATAAAGACTCAGATAACTCTACACTATTCCGAAATTAATGCCAACCCAAGCAAAAACAATTTGGTAGGAACTATATAGAGGTGAAACAATTTATTTAGCATTATCAACCTTTTGATAGACTGTTTCATACACAGATTTCGTTTTGAATAAAAAAATAAAGGGACAATTCGCATGTAATCACAATGGCAGTAGAAATAAGTTTTAATCTAGGCACCATTGAGAAGCAAACCCTCTTAAAATTTGGCAACACACAAACACATCCAATTTACATACCTCAAGCTAACAAGGTTTAAACCAGTCAGTCTACAAAAGATGTTAGAATATACCTTAGTACGAACGGAATTTTCAGTTTTGGTGGGACAACATCACCAAAAAAGTCAGCTTCTTGAGCCATCTTGAGCAATACTCTGCGCACAATTTCCCCTAAATACATGCCAGAAATGATCTTCTCGAAGATCTGCAAACAAAAATTAAATCCATATGATATATCCATCAAGTCATCTACATATGCAAAAACAAGTAACGGAGAATGTTGTTACTTGCTCTCCAGGGTTTAAAGTCTCAGCATCAAGTGCTTGATCGTATTCTGTCAGCGGAAGGTGTGATGAGCGAAAGTTACCCCACTCCATGTTGATAACCTATCAAGAAAATAAACAAAGAATTAGTATGTTCTAACTATAGAACTAAACCTTAGAACCAGGCAACAAACCATAGTTCCACAATTTGATAGGAATTTTTCGTAACATACTAACCATTTCTCCTGATTTTGGTAGAAGACCATGCCATTTTGGAATGGCATGCGCTTTTTCAACATAAGCAGCATTTGTTCCAGTGCCCAATATCACAGCAGCAATGACATCCTGATTGTGGTACCTACCTCCTGCTAATGTACCAATTGTATCATTTACCTGCATCAGCCTGGCAAGTTAGGATTGTCCAAAATGATAAGCAATAAATCACCAAGGTTTAATTCAGCTCCTCGCAGCGTAACATGAAAATCCAAATTGCTGATTAAAAACCAAACTGGACTGACCAAAGCTGTAACACGCATATCAAGTCCAATTTTTTCCATTGATTTGGTCAGCTCTCCTACCACATCTTGCTCAACCTGCACAAACATCAGCCAAAAACTGTCACAAGGGACACCCTACGATAAAGATTAGTCCAGCGCCGCTAAATTAAGTTATTATTGGAACACATTGATTGGGTAACCTGTAGGCAGAAAATAAAGTAACCTGTAGAACATATGTCAAGAAAATATAACATAACGAAAGCTCCAATGCCCATTGTATCAGGTGCAGTATCCTCCAGACATGACTTACACGACTAACTATCAAAATAAAAATCAATATAGCAAGAGATGTAAAAGTACCGTGTCCTCAATATTGAAGCCTTTAGTCCACTTAATAAGGGTCCCTGAGGTAATTGAAGTTTGCCACACAGGAAATGAAAAGGTAAAACCCAGCTCCCTTTGTCTACCGGGTGCAGGATGCAAACCTTCTCCTTCCGTAGCAACAAATTTTGCAAGTGCTTCAGCAATAAAATCAAATAATCCCTGAAACCAAGTCGTGATAAATTACAACCATGTTTGAACAAATCTAAGCAGGTTTTGTAAGATTGCTTGAAGAAATACTAACTTCAGAAGTTCCAGTCATCAAATGCGGTGGAATGGAAACTTCGTCAAATTCATGTTTAACAACATGTTTTTCTTTCCCACCAAGCTGTACACGCAGAACACGGAAGTTTGTCCCACCAAGGTCCAACGCATAAAACAGCCCATTCTCATCCCTGAAATGATGAGAATGAAAGTAATGGAAATGATGAGAATGAAAGTAATGGGAGTTTACCATGAATCCAAAAGGTAAATAAGGGGGGGAAAAGACACCAAATACAGCTCACACAGGGCCAGCCTATCAGCTCAGTTTATGAACCCAAATCACGAACATAATCTACCCATTTATAACACTCTTTCTAAGCTTGTCGACTTTAAATTGCCCTTTCTTTTCCATTTGCAATATAGTATCTCAATTTCTTTTCAATACGATGACACCCTAAAAAGATTAGAAGCACATTAATCCGTTGAGTATAGAACATTATAACCACTAAAATAGCGCAGCCCACACCACATACCGTGAAGAACATACCAAAGACGGAAACTAATAAGAGAGCCATAAAAGCTCCATCTGAAGGACACACGGGATAAGGACAACCGCCAATTTTAGGCTTTTAGCAAATGAAACTTTAATCTCTACAGTTTGATCAAATATTATTTCGAAGCGAAAAATCAATGGGAGCTGCATGAAAATGCAAAATTCCTACAATCAACTAAAGATAGAAAATTTCTTGCCACAAGAAATCAAAAGAGCACAACATCAACAAATAAGAAATAACCATCGCAAGGAAAGATTAATCAATAGATTATACCCAATACAGAAACACACACCAACTAATAACTTCCACCAAATTACCAAACCAACTCAACATCAACATAACTAACTCGTATTTATTAATCAACCCCAATAAATGAGTTCCCATCTCATAAACAACAGAGATTAAAATTCCATCTTTATCCCTTTTAATCAGAAAATTAACAAAAAAGAGGACAAATACACCAGTCCAAACAGAAGACGAATTGCCACAGAACAAAATTATTGAACCCAAACGTATTTTTTCAATCCAATCGAAGTTCAAATTACGAGTCTTTCCAATCCCAATCGAAAAATAAGAAATTAAGGCGGGTGAGATAGACTAAAATACCCAGTGGGGAGGTTATCGACGTAGCTGATGAGCATCTTCAGCTTGCTGCCGCCCTCGGATGCTAGGCCAGCGTGCATTTCCACAGTCATGGCGTCAGCCACCTGTCTCAGCTTCCCAATGGGGGTCCCGCACTTATCCTCCAACTCCCTCAGAATCGCCATCGCCCGGGCCCACCTTCCCGAGCTCTTCATGCGGTGCCGCACGACCAGCGCCGCCGCAGCACATACCGCCGCCGCGCACACTACAGCCGCCCCCACCGCCACTTTCCCCATCACCACCGCCGCTCAAATTACCAAATCTTTGATGGGTTTTTCAATCCGAAATCCCCCGAATCCGATTTTGGGGTCAGGAATCGATGGGCGGATTGAAATTCTCGTGCTTGCGGGCTTGCATGAGTGAGAAAGTTTGGGTAGTGAGAGAGAGAGAGTAAGAAGTGAAAAATTATAATTACAATTTTAGATCGGACTTTCGGGGAGGGATACGAATGGAAAATTGTCAAATCAAGGAATTCCAATCTGCAGCCTAGTTTCTCGGAAAACAAAGCTGTATGAGAAAGAGTGTGTGTGCATGCTTTTATGATTTTCTTGGCCCTGTTTGTTTTCTCGGAAATTAGCCTTTTCTGTATTATTTTTCTCACACTTTCTCGGAAAATAAGAAGATATCTTTCGGCGTCAAAAATGAATATCGGTATTTTTTGGACGGAAATGGAGGGAAAGTGGGCATAGTTTGCGTTAAAATTACGAGATTGACCTGTCAGAGTCGAGTGCGAAGGTGATGTGTTATATGGACGAACATGATTCCTTGATGTGATTTGGGATTGGGATTTTGGAGTTTTCAGTTTAGGGAAGGCTAAGCGTGAGGTTCTCCCTGATTACAATGCCTAAAGTTGGGATTTTATTGCCTTCCAAACAAAATCTAATATGCTTCAAGCATATGTACATGTTGTTCCTCCAAACAAAAATTAGT